CTCTGTTAATGCAGCCCAGCACTTTGTTAGCTTTTTTGGCAGCTGCAGCACACTGCTGGCTCATATTTAAATGGGAAGAGCAATTGTCTATGCGTTGACCACCAAATATTCTTTAAAGTGTGTCAAGCAGATGTATTGAGAACTGGATAAAGCACCATCTTCTCATTTGAAACATTTGAAATAATGTAAATCAGTATAGAGATTCCCTGGATGCAATTTATAGAAATTGTAATGAAATCAGTCACTTTCTCTCATCTCAAGCCACCTTACAGGGATGTTGTACAGAAAGTAGAGGATGGAGCATTGTATATATTGCCTTGAGCTGTACAAAATAAAGTTGGGACATAAATATCATCATCGTCATCATCATCATCATGCATTTTTTTTTGCAGGTGCAGAGTCCTTGTTTTTGGATCAATAAGCACATTTGTGTGATCAAATGCTGCATCCATGTCTAACTGGGCATTTTTCACATCCACATTTATTGTATTTTGCTATCTTTGCTTCAGCCTTCCACTTATTAAAGTGGAAGGTGATGTCGGCAACAGTTTGGCTGCTGCTCAATGGGTAGAACCTGTAGCTAATTTTTTGTTGCCCAGGTCCAGAATGGACTTCCAGAAGTGGCATCCACACAGAGAACTGGTTGTTCATATATTTGAATCTCACCACTGGTTTACCATTGTCGGCAATTCTCACTGTACTGTATATACTGTAGGACAGGGGTCCACAACCCTGGTCTGTGTCCCATGGGGAACCAGGACGTGGAAGTTGTGGGTGAGCGCACCAGCACATGAAGCTCCATTGGCGCAAATGGTGGGCGTACATGGATGAAACCATCCCCTTTCCCCCCTCTGTTGCTGCCACCGCTGCTGCTTCCAGCCCACAGAGCCAGAAAGGATGGGGAGTGCTGTCATAGGGCACAAATCTTGTAATAAATAAAATTTTGTTAACTCCCAGAACAAGTTGGAGTGAAAATGAATAACGTTAAAGGCTCAGCTGGAGCATTTTTCTGTAAAATCCTTGAATTCTTGGCAAAGACTTGGTTCTAACTATAGCAGAATGCCATCATTGTCTGGCCTTTAAGGTAGCTAAGTGTGTCTTGGAATTATTGTTTAGGAACTTAAAATAACCAGTCTTACTCATAGACTTGCTTACATGTCAATTCTAAATTTACCATGTTTTAATTCTGTATTTCTCCCCAGCTATTGTGATTAGGATCTTCATTTTCCCATGTGTAGATCTCCCTTCTGAAACATGTATTACAGATTATTGGCAGAATTCTTGAGGACCATAATTTTATTTATTTATTTATTTAATTAATTAATTTCTATGGCTTCTTGTTGTTTAAGTCTATCCTATTTTGTTCCACTGTTGGGATTAAGATAAAATCAAGATAGCCTTCCCTTCATTTTGTTATTTAGTCCAAATAACCCATTGAGTTCTGATCCACTACCTTCCCGTACCTTAACACTTTCCTTGATACTAAACACAGGTATTATTCCCCAGGTACATGGACAAGTGGACCCCATAGCACCATGTTTTCCAATTTGATGCTTGCCAAACATATTGAAGTTCAAATTCCAGTATTTATAGCTAGTGTAAACTGGACTAGTGTTTCAATTTCAATATTTTGATCAGTCCTTGAAGCACAAATTCTCCTCTTCTTCCTTGGCCACCTTAAGTCTCTTTCTGTGATTATTAAAATCTATGTTAACTAACCGATTGTTCCATTTATTTGTGGTTAATAATCATAATGCTAAGTTCACAACCTATCTTCTCACTTCCAATTGGCAATAAACTAGGATTTGATCCAGTAATTCAGCCTCTGGAGAGTTTCCATGAAGCTATTATAAAGATATTGCATCCAGTTTTGGTTGCCAGAATATATAAATATGTTGAGACTCTAGAAAGGGTGCAGAGAAGAGCAACAAAGATTATTACATGACTGGAGGCTAAAACATATGACGAACGATTTCAGGAATTAAGTATTTTTAGTCTAATGAAGAGAAGGACTAGGGGTGTATTGATAGTAGTCTTCCAATGATGAAAAAAGTAAGGTTCTACATTTAGGCAAGAAAAACCAAATGTACAGGTATAGTATAGGGGGTACCTTGGCTCAATAGTAGAGTAAAGTCCTAGTGGACAATCACTTAAATATGAGCCAGCAGTGTGCTGCAGCTGCCAAAAAAGCCAACACAGTGCTGGGCTGCATTAACAGAGGGATAGAATCAAGATCACGTGAAGTATTAATACCACTTTACAATGCCTTAGTAAGGCCACACTTGGAATACTGCATCCAGTTTTGGTCACCACGATGTAAAAAAGATGCTGAGACTCTATAAAGAGTACAGAGAAGAGCAACAAAGATGATTAGGGGACTGGAGGCTAAAACATATAAGGAACGGTTGCTGGAATTGGGTATGTCTAGTTTAATGAAGAGAAGGACGAGGGGGGACATGATAGCAGTGTTCCAATATCTCAGGGCCTGCCACAAAGAAGAGGGAGTCAAGCTATTCTCCAAAGTGCCTGAAGGCAGGACAAGAAGCAACGGATGGAAATTAATCAAGGAGAGAAGCAACCTAGAACTAAGGAGAAACTTCCTGACAGTTAGAACAATTAACCAGTGGAACAACCTGCCTCCAGAAGTGGTGAATGCTCCAACACTGGAAATTTTTAAGAAGAGACTGGACAGCCATTTGTCTGAAATGGTGTAGTTTCCTGCCTCAGCAGGGGGTTGGACTAGAAGACCTCCAAGGTCCCTTCCAATTCTATTATTGTTATTGTTATATCTAAGGAGCTGCCACAAAGAAGAGGAAGTCAAGCTATTCTCCAAAGCACCTGAAAGCAGGACAAGAAATAACAGATGGAAGCTCATCAGAGAGAGATCCAACCTAGAAATTAGGAGAAATTTCCTGACAGAACAATTAACCAGTGGAACGCCTTGCCTTGAGAAATGGTGGGTGCTCCATCACTGGAGGTTTTTAAAGAAGAGATTGGACAGCCAAGGTTTTCTGCTTCATCAGGGGTTGGACTAGAAGACCTCCAAGGTCCTTTCTAACTCTGCTATTCTGTATTTCTTCAGAAATAGTATGGCTTGAAAACTGATTCAAACAAAGGAAAGAGTTTACAGTAAGATATTTAGTTTGATTAGCCACAATACTGATTCAAATGGAAACACAGAAGATTGACTGGAGTTTAAACACCAGTTTGAAACTTCAAAAAAAAAATCAACAGCTTTATGTCTTTCCTTTTACATATAATCAACATGACTAGCCACAACTACAGATCTCACTGAGAAAATAATATGGAACTAGAAGCAGTTTTTTTGACCGGATGGAAGGCAAATAAAGATAAACAGGAACATGTGAATTATCTTGTGGGAACAAAGGCAGTGCCATTCATAAATGGGAAAAAAGCTGCTGAAATTTGGAGATGCTCACCCTTCTCTTTCCATTAACAAGCCCATTTAGGAAGCAGAGTATAAAGAGTGGGATAACTGCGCCTAACAGGCTGGGCTTAACATCTGTCATGCTGGAGATCTCTAATGTTCAATTGAATCCTATTGTTTTCTGATTATTTGACTCCATTCATTGTCATTGTGAAGGTTTAATCAACTATTTGCAGTCACGTGATGTTTTAGAGTCATAACTGGAACAATTGACCCACAGTTTTAGATCAAAATACCATGTTACAAAACTGAATGAAAGCATGACTTGTGAACAAATGCTCAGTAATAATTTAATTAGTCTGGAAATTATATTCTTTCACCTTAAACTTACACCACATTTTCAAGTGGGAAAGAAAAAAGATGAAAAAAAATGCCTTATTAAGAAGAGCAATATACAGTATGCTGTGAAAGGACAAAATAATATTTTCTGTTTCTTATTTAGAAAATCATATGCCTTTTGCAGTCAATACCTATCTGTGACAAATAGATAGTGTTTGTCTAGTATTTGGAAAGCAGGCTGACAAATCACTTTTTTATGCTTTTGTAATCCCATAAAAACATATTCCTTAAAACTATTGTTCAGCTATTCTTTGTAAGTAAAAGCTCAACTTCTGTGTTAAGCAAGTTGTGAGAATCTCCAGATCCTAATGCTTGCTTTGTTTTCTGACACTCTCATGTCCTCTTCGTTCACATATAATAGCCCCTTTTCCCACCCACCCCCTCTTCCCCCAGCACTTTATGGCAAGTGAAAAACCCAGCAATGTGTCAAAGCTTTTTTGCTGAGCTGCAGAAGCTGATTCATTGGGAAAAAAAAATAGACCTTTGCTTAGTTGTGGTGATTCTTGTGGGGTCAGGCCAGACGCTGCTCCAGATGGCAAGTTGTCAAGTCAGACAGGCCGGGCTTTGGGAGACTTTTCAAGAGACCCAGATTGCAAGGTCAGGATTTTCCTGTACACGCGCATGTGCATCCTGTTCCCAGGGCAGTGAGGTGCTGGGAGAGAAACAGAGGGCCACCCGCCCACCTGCTGCAACCTGTTCAGCTCTTGCTGCTGCTTCTATAAAGACTTCCCTGACTTGTGACTTGGGCTCACAGCCCAGGGAGAAGAGGCGAGAGAGCTCTCCTCTGCTGCTCTTTGCGTCAGGTCACCAAGGACCTGAAATGACAGCTATGGAAGACTGCTGCTAGACCTTTCTCCTACCTTGCCTTCGTAAGCAGTCCTTTGGGGCAGAGGTGCACCAAAACTCTTTGAGATACAGTGAGCACTCAGCTCTCCCTGTAATTTTCTTAGCCTTTTAAGTTGGAGTCTTTGAAGGCAAAGATGCTGCTTGCCTCTTTCCAAAGTGAGAGGAAATGAAGAAGACCAAGATTCAAGATTAAAGATGGGGAGAATGACCAGGTTTCGCTCTTGGTTTGTCCAAAACAGGGACAATTTCGTACCTATTGAATTATGTAATTTGGGGAAGATGGTCCTTTTCACAATAAGTCCATTCTCTTGAAGTTGAGGAAAGTATTTTCTTTCAAAGACCTATTGCAAGCAGAGTTTTTTTTTCCTGATAGCTTCAACAAAAGCTTCGCCCATGAAACCCTGCAAGCCAAACCCTAAGGAGACCCCCAGTGCAGATGCCAGCTTCCCCTGCGGCAGTGAGTCAGGCTGTGAAGGGAAAGGCAGCTCTGAACGGCTGGAGAACACTGCCCGGCGCAGGCTTGCTGCCAATGCAAGGGAAAGGAGAAGGATGCAGGGGCTCAACACGGCCTTTGACCACCTCCGCAAAGTGGTCCCCCAATGGGGACAAGACAAAAAGCTCTCCAAGTACGAGACTCTCCAGATGGCGCTCAGTTACATCATGGCCCTGACACGGATCCTGGCTGAAGCGGAGAGGCTCAGCGCACAGAAAGGCTGGATTAACTTTCATGAGGAGCACTTCCATGCTTGCTCAGGTCAGAAGGCGGCTGTGGAGACCGAGTCCTGTGCTCCCAGACTTTTCCACTTCCAGCCTGATCAATTCTAAGTTGATCAACTACATCGCTGTGGATCTGGGACAGGCTCGCTTTCTCACTCTTGTGAAACATGGCAACAAGAACTGAACAGCTGCACCAGGTACTCTTGATCTCATTTGATTTCATCTTTGGAACAAATTGATCTAATTCATCTTCTTTTGGGGGAGATAATTTTTCCCCTTCCTACTGTTTATCTGTTAAATATATACAATATCTTCAGGTTGTATCATTTTGTCATTATGCAATTTTTTTGGGGTAGTTATACATGTCTGACTACCATACCTTCTGTTTTCATGATGATATGTTGATGAAAGCAAAGCAGGATAACAGTAACAATAACAACAAAATTAATCCAGTTTTATGTATGGAATGAACAAGTTTGCTTATTGGAGAATGTAACTGAAATTTTAATCAGGATGATTAGATATTCAAATCTCCATTAATTCTTAAATTGACAGTGTATTTTATTTTGTTTCCTCAGTAATTGTATATTATACAACAGAAAATAGAAATGATATTCTTTAGTCCGCAAAGAAGTAACTTCCTTAAACTTTGTAAGTTTGTCCGTATAGGTTCTTCTAAACCAAACTGTGCAAGTTTTACTTAATTGCAACTCACAATTTCTCAGAGTGTAAACCTAGAATGAAGCTAATTTCAGTTATAGTCTTTGTTTAAATATTCTATATGCTGCTATGAAAAAGATTAGTCCATGTTACATGATGCTATATATAAGATGCTTGCATGAAAATAAAATTTCACAATTTGTGATTCATAATGAGCCTGATTGTTTTTTTACATTGTTTCATTTCTTTTACAGTGTAAAAGTTTTGTAAACTACAAATAAACACATTTTTCTCATACAAAATGTCTGTTATTAAAAGTGGTGGGCATCCTCTATTGGGAGCTAGGTATGCTCTAACATAGAAAGGTTCTGTCCATTCCTTTAGATGGATAACATACATAAAAAAGGAATTTCCTAATTTTTTTTTGAGGCAATACTGCATCCAAATTTGGTAGTACAAAAAAAATATTTAGACTTTGGAAAAAGTTCAGAGAAGATCAACTACAATGATCAAAGGCCTGGAGACTAAAACATATGAAGAACGACTGCAGGACTTGGGTTTGGCTAGTCTAAAGAAAAGAAGAAACAGGGGTGACATGATAGCAGTATTCCAGTATTTGAGGGGCTGCCACAGAGAAGAAGGGGTCAAATTATTCTCCAAAGCATCAGAGGGAAGGACAAGAAACAATGGTTGGAAACTGCTCAAAGAGAGAAGCAATCTGGAATTAAGGAGAAACTTCCTGACAGTGACGACAATCAATCAGTGGAACAGCTTGCCTCCAGAAATCGTGGATGCTCCATCACTGGAGGTTTTTAAGAAGAGGTGGACAGTCACTTGTTTGAAATGGTATCGGTTCTCCTGCTTGAGCAGGGGGCTGGACTAGAAGACCCCCAAGGTCCCTTCCAGCTCTACTCTACTCAACTCTCTACTCTACTCTACTCTACTCTACTCTACTCTACTCTACTCTACTCTACTCTACTCTACTCTACTCTACTCTACTCTACTCTATTCTTCTCTTCTCTTCTCTCTACTCCATTCTACTCTACTCTACTCTACTCTACTCTACTCTATTATTCTATTCTGTTCTGTTCTCTTCTGTTCTGTTCTATTCTATTCTATTCTATTCTGCAGTGGACAAAGACTTGGGTGATATAAATTGAAATCCACCCTCATCTATGAAAACTAACCAGATGATTTTTAAATGGTCTCTCTTAGTCCAACTGGTAGAGCTGTTGTTGTGGATAAATATCGGAGTAGAATTTGCTGCATTCTCAGCGGAAAAGAGATTTAAATCTGAACTGTAATCTTTGTCAGGGATGTGTGCAGAAAGGATCATTCCTTTGCTTCATTGGCTGGCTGTAGCTCCATCATCAGGTCAGTTGAATAACAGGCATTGGGAGGGGCCCTTGAGGATTTCCAGACAAGTCACTTCTGTTTTGTTGCTGATTAAATTAAGCATTTTTGCTAGTAGACAAACTCAGCCCAGTGTGTGTGTGTGTGTGTGTGTGTGTGTGTGTGTGTGTGTTTTCTTTTCCCATATTCCCTTAAAACCAATAACCACCTGCCTTGCTGATTTCCATGGTCATCTGAGCCAGCAAGAAATTGATTTCCTGGATTTATCTTGTGCAGTGTGATGGGTATATTCCTGCCTAAAGCCATATGAAAAAAATGACAGTCCTCTCTTTCCATCCACGGACATTACCATGAGTCTAAAAAAATATTTAAATATTTTAAAAGGAAGAAAAGAAACTAGCAAAATGACAGAGCGCACACATTTCAAATCCAGGGTGCGAATCCATTTCACTTGACACATGATGATATTTTGCATTATACAACTGTTTATGACCAACAAGTCACTTTATAGCAAGGGTGGGCAACTGTGGCACCTTTAAGACCTATGGACTTCAACTCCCAGAATTCCCGAGCCAGCTATGCCAAATCTGGGAGCTGAAGTCCACAGGTCGTAAAATTGTCATAGTTGCCCAGCCCTGCTTTATAGATTAGTCTGTTATGCAGCAGTTCAGCTTAGGGCAGGGGTCTTCAAACTTGGCCCTTTTATGACTTGTGGACTTCAACTCACAGAATTCCTCAGCCAGGCACACTGGCTGAGGAATTCTGGAAGTTGAAGTCCACAAGCCATAAAAGGGCCATGTTTGAAGACCCCTGATATAAACAATCTGACTTCATGGTCATGCTTCCCCCCCACTTCCCTAGATATCTCTCTAGAGATCAGCTCAGGGGAGGATGAACCAGTTCTTGGCATATCAGGAGCTGAGTTGATTGGTGGTTCAGAGCACCTATCTGTGAGGGATTTGACTGAGGCTCCAGGTAGGGACAGCATGCAGCTGCAGCTGGTCAGTGAGGAAGACAGATGGAGGCGATGCTGGGAACAACATGTTTGTTTCCTGTGTGTTTTCTGGTCATTGTGATTCCTACCTTGCTTTGTATTGACACCATGCCTTGACTTGGATAGTGCCTGGGAAATTCTTTTGTGTTGTGGATTTAAGTTTGCCTGGTGGATTTATTTTGATTGAGAAACTTTCAAGTGCCTTGTGGACTCTTTGGCCATTGCTCTGTGGACTAGCATTGGTCTACACAGCAACCTTTCATTGTGAAGCTTTATGAACAAACAAATGGGAAAAGACACAAGAAAGGTTCTGAAGCAGCCAGGCAAGACAGAGGGGTTAAAATGAGCAAAACAATCCAAGTTAGCAAGTTGTTCTTCCAAATGTCATTTTTCTTCTGAAAACTCAGCTTTAATTTTGACTGGCTTGTTGTGCCCAAATCTAAGTTCAGTCAAGATGTTGGCTCTGTTGCCCTGAGTTTTTCGCTCACTTGCTTTGATGCCAGTCCCCCTGAAAATTCTCAAACACCCTCAAAAGTAGTGATTGTCCACTCTCCCTGTTGCTAGAGACAGAACAATGCAATTGCTCTTAAGTGGCAGGAATAGTATTTAATCCTCTCCTTCATCCCAGCCAGGACTACACAAAGCAAACAGTTTCATCCCTTCTGGCCTTCCTCAGCTGCTTGTAAAATCTGGATTAAGAAAGTCAGGAAATGTGTTTCCTTGTGTGATTCATACTTGCCAGGAATCAAGGAAGAATTTCAGACCAACCAGCAGAGCAACTGCATTTCATATTCTTATACTACTGTAAACATAACATGTAATTTTTGTCAGAGACAGTAGTGAGATGAGTTGCAAGTAATGAGCAGCAGAAGTTCTGATATGGTGCTTTCAACACTTTGATGAAAAAAAAAAAACACCAGACAAATTTGTTTCTCTAATGGCAATTGTTTATTTAAAATAGATTTACTTAAGCTGACTATATTTGGACTCAGAAGAGTTGCTTCTGTTAATACTAGGATGGGCTAGGCCAGGGGTCTTCAAACTTGGTCCTTTTATGACTTGTAGACTTCCAGAATTCCTCAGCCAGGCATGCTGGCTGAGGAATTCTGGGAGTTGAAGTCCACAAATCATAAAAGGGCCAAGTTTGAAGACCCCTGGCCTAGCCCATCATGAAATTTCAGGGTTACCGGTTACAGTGTGGAACAGAAAATCATCCCTGGAGTAGGAAATCACACAACACTTCTGTGCTATTGCCCCAAAACTTGTTTGTGTGCATCCATATTGTTACCAGGAGTTGTGCTAGACTCAAGGGAATGCTTAAATCTACTATGAAATTGCATCAGGAAACTGATTTAAGCTTTGGCTGCTTTGTACAAGATAAAAGAGTACCTTGGACAGAGCCAAGGTAACGCAGAGATAATTCCTCATATGTTGTTGGGAAAAAGGAAGGAGGAGATACTGATTTGCTGAGGAGAGCAGCAGACAAGATGGAAAGACTACGTGCTTTTGGGTTTTGGTGCAGCTCTTCTTCTTCATGGAGGCAATGATGAGACTTCCTTGCAGAATGTCTCCAAATTCAGATTCTGTAGCGAATCCAGGCATATGGTTTTGAGGACAGCAGGATTGCCTTCCGTTCTGCACACGGAAACCATTTTGGGGGGTGTGGGTCACCGTTGTTAAAGGAGAACATAAATATTCCATGCTAGCTTCATCAGATGCAATCTGTAATCACCACTTGCAATCTAAAGACAAACTGGAAAAAGCCTTTGGCTCTATAATGTTTTGGATAACAGATCCCCAGGGACACAGGCAAAGAGATATTTGTATAATGCCACTCTGAAGCATTTATTCAATGGATTAGGAAAAAAACACATTTGCCGAACAGTTTGGCATTTTTCTTTATATGCATTTAAAATATACTTTAGAACGTACCATTCATTCCCCTCCCTCTTTCCATCATATATTACTAGGATTAAAAACCCATTTTAATGGAAAAATAACAACTTCATATTGGTAGAATATAAGGCCATTGAGTTGTGTAATTTGTACTTCATTTATCAGGTAGGAAGTTTCCTGCTATATTAATTCAGGTACTGTTTAAATTGGGTAGGTGAAGTCTTTTTTTCCACAGAACAGTGTCTTGCTATGAATTTTACAACAGTTCCTTATATATATTATACTGTGCTTTTCTATGACACAAATCAAGAGTTTACAACAAAGCAGTGGTGGCTCAATTGATCTAATATTTTTTTTAAAAAATATTTTTACATCAGAAATAAGAAGACAATGGTGTCCTCATTTTTATATTTGTGCTTTGCTGACTTATATGAGAAATATGAAGTTTCCAAGTGACTTCCCAGTGTTGTTTGTGATGAATCCATTTTTTAAATTTTCATTAATAATTCCACAGAATATCCCTCTTGTTACATTTTTGAAGTTGTGCTTTTACAGCGATACTGCATGGTTTCACTGAAAAAGGATATCTAAAGTTCGGGGCTGGTATACTGTATGTGAAATAATCTCAAAACACCAAAGCATATTCTTTGCTTTGTAGTGTCCTCTTGTGCAAAAAGAAAATTGGGTGGGTTTTTTTTGGATTCTCTAATTTTTTATTGGAATTTAACAAGTTTAGAAAAGGAACCAGAATCCCAATAAATACATTAATACAGAGGTCCCCAACCTTTTGGACACCAGGGACTGGTTTCATGGAGAGAGGTTTTTCTGCGGACTGGAGGGGGCGTGGCTTTGTGTGTTGCCTGCATCTCGCGGATGGGGCTTTACTTGTTTGTGCAGACTGGTTGCTGGCATGCCGCAGCCTGGTACCGGTCCACTGACCAGGGGTTGGGGACCCCTGCATTAATAGAAGAATGTGTAGTAGCGTTTCCCAACCTTAACAACTTTAAGATGTGTGGGCTTCAACTCCTAGAATTCCTCAGCCAGTCATACTGAATTCTGGGAATTGATGTCCACCCAGTTACCATGGTTGAGAAACAGTGCTTTGTAGAAGCTATTGAGCTCCATCCAATCCTGAATGCACTTTCATTCAAGCCATGTATTTCTTGTTCCCACCTCTTCTTTCTCCTCCATCCTGTTCCTTCATCCTCCACCTCCTTAAAGCAGATTGAATGGCTTGTGAAAGAGATGATTTGATTATGATAGTGACTATTCTTCCAGGGATCGATACCCATTTATTCTGGCTTCCCTGATTTGGAAGCACACATCTACTCAGCATCCTTATTAAGTCAGCAAGGATTTTTTTTTTTAAAAAAGTAGATTTATTTTGCTTCCATGACCTTTCTTTCCTTGTGGAAATTGGTAGGGATGGCTTTGGCTGCATAAAATGAAAGAACCTGTTTCTAGTGCAAAGTTTAGGTTCTAGTTTATAAAATAAATAAAAAAGAGAAATAAAACTGTCTTCTGCAAGAAGAAAACTCTGGCAATTCTGAAAGACATTGTCTTTCGGCAATATCAATAGCTTCAATGGCCTTTTTTTCACATAAATCTACCTACTCAGTTGATTTGATATCAGTTACAGATATCAAGGAAGGGCTGCTTTCTATATGCCAAATAAGCTGAATTAAAGTTTGTCCTGGCTAAATTCCAGAGTCTAACACTGATCAATTTGCAAGGAATTGGTGTTGTGTAAATGGCCTTTTTTTTCTTCTAAATATTGACAGTCATTTGTGCTACAGGAGATATATATGTTTTTGTAAATGTATTTCAATCTATGACAATTACATTTACCTAATCAGTTATATTCATTAATTTATATCTAAATTTTCAGACATACTCAATTTTTCTCCTGGAACATTTTCTATATGAAATTAGACTATTTTTTTTTTTTTTACCAAATTTGGGGAAATTACAATGCTTCAGTGAAGCCCTCTGCTGTTGAGATATATTATTGTTGTCACATAATACCTTCTATTTTCTCAGCCACCATATTTCTGTTTAAGCTACCTGGATACAAGAACAGCATTTCTTTATCATTTAAGGGATATCTTCCATCTTTCTTTATAGGAACTGTCCAAAGTGATCCTTGATTTACAAATCTGTTTGGAACAAAGTACTGTTCTCTTGATCAAAGTTTAGAACAGTGGTTCTCAACCTGTGGGTCGGGACCCCATTTGGCGTCGAACGACCATTTCACGGGGGTCGCCAAACAACGCAGTCCGCCATTTTCTTTTCCCCTTTTCCTTAGCTGTGCTACTCCCTTTTATTCTATTGGCTTTTGAAAGCCAATAGAATAGACTCTCTTGAATAGAGTCTAATTCTATTGGCTTTCAAAAGCCAATAGGAATTGTCCAGGCTGTCTCTGCCTTGCTGAGCCCGCCAAAAGTCCCATTCTGCAAATGGTGCTGCACCAGCTGAGTAGTCCTCGACTTACGACCGGTTGGGGGTCGCGGCATTAAAAAGGTTGAGAACCACTGGTTTAGAAGAACCTTCTCATGTTCTTCTCATTTGGGAAACTTCAGTTGCTCTATAAGAACATTAGAATTTTAATGAAATAGCCCAATGGTGGCAAACCTATGGCACAGGTGCCAGAGGCGGCATTCAGAGCCCTCTCTGTGGGCACGCGTACTGTTGCCCCATTCCTAGGCCTTCAGTTGGGTTTTATAAAACCCTTTTGCTTTAGGCCTCCGTCACCATGTGCAAAAAAAAAAAAAAAGGTTCAATCAGTCAATTTCAACTTCTCGTGGGGAAAAAAAAGATCTTGCAAAGTTGGAATTGATTGATTGAACTTTTTAGCTCCACCCAGTCTGCTGTTACCACCACAGCCACACCAACCCAATGGGCCACACCCACCCGGCACCTGACAATGCATAAGTGGGTTTTGGGTTGCAGTTTGGCCACTCGGTCTCTAAAAGGTTCGCCATCACTGAAATAGCCTGATCCAGTGATGGGATTCAGCCAGTTCGCACCGGTTCAGCAGAACCAGTAGCTAAATTTTTGCTGAGTTCAGAGAACCGGCTGAATGCACACTGCTTCCGGAAGTCCAGTGTAGGCCTCGGAGGCCTGGAGGAGGCCTCCCAGGCCTAGATTGGCCTGCCGGAAGTGCATGGATGCCACTTCTGGAAGTCTGTTCCAGGCCTCAGACGCCCAGGCCTACATCCAATAAGAGAACCAGTTGTTCAGGTATTTCAGTCCCACCACTGGCCTGATCTCATGGCAATCATGCCAGAATCTAAATCTGTGTTACTCAACCTCGGCAACTTGAAGATATGTGGATGTCAACTCCCAGAATTCCCCAGCCAGCAGGGGTTTCTCCGCCTGCTTTCTAGCCTTGGCACAAACATTCCCCAGCAATATTTCTTTCCTGGCCCGTCTACCATAATGTTCCTTTTATCTCATTGGCAGCCGGAAGTCAACTATAGCTATTAGAGTAGATTGCCGGTAATAGATTCCATTTTATTTTGACATCCCAATAGGCAGCTTCAGTGTGGCTGGGAATTCTGGGAGTTAAGAAAGTCGCCCTTCTTAAAGTAGCCCATATGTGCAGAAACAAATACTGTGGGAAGAATCCAGAGAAATAAATATTTTGGGAAATATTAAAAAGGCAGAATATATTTCCCCAAAGGATCTTAAAAGCAGAAGCCAATCACCCCCCCACAAGTCTCTCTGCCCCAAACAGAAACCAGGTCTGCAGAAATGCAGAAGTGATAATCTTGTCAAAAAAATTGGAGCAGGAAGCTGGTATTAGAAAGACAAAGATCCCCAGAATCAACAATCCCTCACACAAAAAAATCCAACAGTCATCAGCCACAGGCACAGGGAAGCAGGATATGACCTTTGGGATATAATAGGATTAACCCACCACCATCAGAATACCAGAAAGGTACACTCAGACTCAGGTCAAAATTCATGTCACAGGAACAACTCCAAACAAAAGCCCAAGAAGGTATAAAAACCCACCACTCCCTACTACATGTGGTCAGCTTTCCCAGAGTCATCTTTCTTTCTGGCTCTCCTCTTCAATAAACTACAACCTTCTTTCTAAAGCAGTCTCCATTTTGTTTATTCGCAGCTTGGACTGGATTCTGATGAAGATTTTTCTTTCAAAAATTTGGCACCCACCTCTGATAACTAAGAAGAAATGACAGAAGTCACAGAAACATTATTCCCAGGGTCAACAGTTATCGGAAATCTCATACAGGTAGTCCTCGACCTAGGACCATTCAAAATTATGAAGGCACTGAAAAAAAATGTCCTATGACAGCCCGTGCACTTACGACCTTCACAGTGTTCCTGTGGACATGCAATAAAAATTCAGGCACTTGGGAACTGGCTACTTCCAACAAGCAAAGTCAATGGGGGAAGCTGTATTTGCTTAATGATCGTGATGATTCACTTAACAACCGCAGCAAAAAGGTCATAAAATCAGGGGTGACTCATTTAATGACAGCATCACTTAGCAATGGATGTTCTGATCCCAAGTGTGATCATTTGTTGATGACTACTAGAAATATTTTGATGAAATATTCTATCTTCATTGAAATTTATTTTTAAGGCACATACTGTACCTCTTATTTTTAAGGCATATACTGTACCTCTTTCTCCAATCCTGAATTCTCCAGCTATGTGGGGATGATAAGTTTCAGCATGCTGTAGCCCCAAATGCATGGAAAACACTAGTGGGGAAAAACTATTTAAAGCAGGCTTCCCCTTTCTAAATGTGTGGTGACTGTAGCTTTTTAGAAAATCTCCTTTTCTGTCTGACTCAACACTCCCAAAAAGAAAATAGGTTTGGCTATTGTGGGGAGGTTGGATTATAAAATGCCATAATTATTGCCAGTGAATTCCTACTACTAGTGCACAGTTCAAAATATTTTAATCCTGGATTTCAATTTGGTTATAGTTTTTAAAGGACGGAGACTTTGTGTAAATTATATAGCCAATAACTGCTTATTCACTGCTAATAATACCCAGTATTACAATGGTCTTTGGCAAATCCGATGGAGATAATTTTATTCTTTCACAGTGAAATTAGCATCGGATATCTTAAGCTATATGCTAATATGTACTTCAAACTTTAATGGGTCTTCGTTTAGAATATATTGAATAAAAGCATATGCTAACAAAATCTCTTTGCTTTATGGCCTCTTTTAATTATTTGTTTTACATATGGGAGCTCAATCAATATCCAACATGAATGAAGTTGCATTGATAAGTTTGCATTAGATGACAATTGCTTTTTGTTTAATTAGTGTCATCTACAGAATAATTTTATTCTCTGTACACCTATATCTAGATGCTCAACATCTGGAAAAATAGAAGTGAGGCTATTGTAAAGGAAGCAGGATTATTGCCAAATAGGAAAAAAAGGGGAAATGCAATAATCCAGACCCAACCATGTCTGCAAGAAGGGTATAATTTAAAGGGAAGGTCTTAATATCCTAACCCATTTTTGACAATAGGTACATGTATGTGTGTAAGCAAGTTATGTAGGATTCTGAAGATAGGAAACAAAATCCTATCTGAAGACCAAAGAAACAAAAACAACATGCAAGGCATTTTTGTTTTTGTTCAAATATTGATTTCTAAATATGGAAGAAGAAAAAAAAAGCATGCTTTAAAATGTATATACCATTGGGAGCTGTGGGATGGCTATAATATGAGTTTTGTGGTACATAAGCTGGTTTATAGCTAGTTGCAGTATGATCCTATACATATCCCTCAGAAGTAAGTCTTTTATAGTTGAGTGGACTTACTTTAAGGTAAGCATATGCCTGCAGCCTAACAACAGGGCACCTTAACACTAATATTAAGAGCCCTCTTTGGGTGCAAGATTCATGAATATAGAGTCACACTTTTTAAAAATTCTATTATTTAGAAGCAGTTTGTATTTGAAATGCTATACATATCTAGTTTTGGGTTGACTAATTGTTTTATTTGTATGAATCCTTAGCAAACTGAGCAGTCACAGTTTTTTCCCCCTGGCATTGGGTCTGTGTTTTGTGACTACCAGCCATCCTTAAAACGCTGAATTCAAAATAAGGGACTTAGAGGTCTACGTAGGGGATCCAAAAAGTAAGATGATGTCATGGTAGCATGGTGGAAACCATCATCTTGACTGGAAACCACCATCTTGATTTTTCAAGCATCTTTCCCCTTCCAGATGCCCCTGCATTTGGTTTCTCCATCATCAGAATGATTACCATCACTGTAAATGTCCTTCATGGTAACTTTCAGACAGCTATCCAAATCTTAACCAAGTGCCTATTCGCTGCCTTAAAACCTTAGCAGGAAAATGGGCACAGCTTTTTTTTACTTAACAACTGAAAACTAGATCGCTTTTCTTCATAACCTGTGGAACAAAAGTAACACAGCATAAAATTTGTTGCAGTATATTCTATACCACAACAACTCCATAGTATGATGCTGCACTGAGTCTCAACATCTTTACTGCTTATCAGTTATATTAGCTGTAAACCTTAAATGTTTCAGCATGTCTCTTCCATTCCCTTTCACGGTTCTAGTGTTTCTTTATTTTCAGGGAGAATTTGAATCTTTTCCCTCACAATTCTTCACTTTCTACCACAGGCTGGGCGGGAGATGAAAAGCGTGCTGGATTCTCAACAGTGGAGAAAGCAGAGAAAATGTCAAGTCCTTGTCCTGTAAGATTTGCATACCGGGTGCTGCTTGAACGAAACTTGATTGGCTGAGAGATCTGTTGATGCCATTGGGCTGAAGCAAAAAAAAAAAAAAAAAATGGCATGAATGTAGGCTATGACTATTGGGAATCTCTTTTAGGTTATATATAACAGTGCTTTTCAACCTTTTCACAGATTCTACTACTTTGAGGACATGACAATATTTGAGTGCCACCAGTGCTTAGGAAGGTGTCAAAAACTTGATGACCCCCAAAAAAGGTGATGGTTCCTTTGCTGAATCACTTTCCCTTTGTACTGATGAACATATGACGAAGTTATCCATGTTTATTAATATGCACCACTACCTTGGTGGTCAGGGAGCTGGTCAGCCCTTCTTCCTCTCTCCTCTCTCTCTCTTCACAGCTTCATTGATCCTTCATTGATCCTTCCATTTGTCTCATAGAAGCCTGTCCTCTTCTCCCTCCCTCTTTCTCTGTCCCCTTCTCTTTCCCTGTCGTCTTTTTTTTCTCTCCATCTCCTGTCAAAACAGCCTCCTTTTTTATCCTCTTCTCTCACCCCCTTCCTTCTGCTTTTCTCTTCCAGGTCTGCCACTCTTTGGGGTTCAGGGAGAGCTCCAGCATCAATCGCTACCCAGTCTCACCTCCCCAGGTAGTCACCCACTCCCCGGCTGGCCATTGCATACAGCGCTGATCAGCTGGAGCTGCGCGCCAATCTTGGGGCCTCTGCCGAGCCCCCGCAGCCCTTCAGCTCCAGCTGACTCTCTCACCCCAAGGCCTGTCTGCTGCTCCTGGTGATAGCAGACGCTGCTGGAAGTGCCAATCAGCTGAAGCTGAGTGTGCTGATCCTGAGCCCTCAGCAGAGCCCCAGCAACATTGCAGCTCCAGCTGACTCTCTGCCTGAAGACTGTGTGCAGCTGCCTGCCACCCCCAAGACTGTGGGAAGCGCCAATCAGTTGGAGCAGCACGCACTGATCGTGGACCCTCAGGAGAGCCCCAGAAACATTGCAGCTCCAACTGACTCTCCCAGGCCTTTCTGGTGCTACCGCCACTTCAGCTCATTCCCCCTGCTACACTTGTCTAGGTCGCGTACCACCTGCCAGGTGCTGAAGTACCACCAATAGTATGAGCACTACTGGTTGAAAAGCCCTGATGAATAAAGGTTGTAAAAAGAGGTATCCCTAGTTTGTAAGTGAAAAGCCTAAGGCAGATTACAGAACTGTGTGCTAAATGCCCTTGAAGCTGCTCCCAAAAATTTAGGCAGCTGGGATAATGTGAAATTTCCAAATACTATTTTAATATATTACTATCAACCGCTACTACCCTAAATGCTTTTGAGCCTAAAGATCTATTTCAGCATCTCTCTTGGCATGCACTAGCTGGCCCGTTGAAATCTAAGGAGGGCTGAGTCCTCGGGGCTATTATCTAAGCAAGATTCTTCCCATTGATGGTCCTTATAGCGTGGAGCATCCTGTCTTCAATAATGCATCTTCTCTGTTCAATTTCATAAACTCTTAAAGAACACATCTTCATCTAGAATACCTTTGCTCCTGACTTCTACAAAGAATCTCACTATATGTCATTAAATTTTTAATGGTTTTGTTGTCGTATTTCATGTTTCAGGAACCAAGAATTTCCTGACAGTGAGAACAATTAATCAATAACACAGCTTGCCTCACACAGCTGCGGGTGATCCATCACTAGAGATTTTCAAGAAAAGATTGGACAGCCATTTGTCCAGGATAGCATAAAGGTTTCTGCCTTGCGCAAGGGGTTGGACTAGAAGTGGTCTCTTCCAGCCTTATGATTTGATGATGCTATCATAAAGGATGAGCAGTAAGCAAAAAGTAGTAATCACACAAACGTGTCATAATGGGAAGGTAGGAGAGATGACAAATACAGAATCAAGACTGATCACATATCTACCATACATTTTGTTCATTTATTCCTAAAGTTTGGGCTACTTACCATATATGTCAAGTCTAGCAGTGCAAGAGACAATGCCGACTTCATTTTTGGCAGACAAAGTGTACCAACCAGCATCTACTTTTTTGGCAGGCTGAATCAAAAGGCAGACATATCCTGTAGCATCTTGGTGCATACTAAGATGAAATAAAATCATTTCAGTGTCATTTGTGATGTACTGGAGGATTTTAGTGAACTCGTTTAAGAAAACAACAGAAACATGGTATTTATACTCTCTCCCTCTCCCTCCCTCCTCCCTCTCAACATTTGTGTGTGTATGTGTGTATGTGGGTATGTGTGTGCATTTATGTAGAGAAGGACTTGCTTAGTGACCAATCACCTTGGAATTCTGCATTGGAAGATCTCAAAGACTTGAACTATTTGACCAAATTTTCTTGTTTCAAACAAGTTTGCTTTTTGCGTGCAGTCAGTAATAGTAGTAATTTTGCATACTTGATTTTTATCCTCCTATAATGTGTCTCCAGTAGTAGTTTATAGTTGATCCCTAGTAATACATAAAAGTTCTACCTGCTCTTGGGGATTCTACATTTTAGCAGATGTTTTTTCCCCTAGATCAGTGCTGGCGAACCTATGGCATGCGTACCAGAGGCGGCAGTCAGAGCGCTCTCTGTGGGCAGGCGTGCCATTGCCCCAGCCCCACCTCCCCACATGGCCCCCTCCTCACCAGCAGCCCCTCCTGGAGGAAAGTCATCCCCATGTGTGGCCCGCACAGAGCAGCATAGCCAATGACATGGCAACCGGGCAGTGAGGACAAGACTCTGCCCTCACGCCCTGTCATGCGCAGTTGATGCTGTGGGGTGCAGGCGGAAGGTGTGGTCACCATGGCGCTGCTGGACCACCTGAGCAATCTGTGGCAGGCCATGGAGGCAGTGAGTGGCCCTGCAAGTGGGCGGGGTGGGGGCAGAGCAAGGGTGGGGCAGGGGCAGAGCAGGGGTGGGCTGGGGGGCAGGAGTGGTTTTTGGCCACTCGGTCTCTAAAAGGTTCGCCATCACTGCCCTAGATGAACAATATTTATTACCATATACAGTACATACCCTGAAAGCATTTTAATTGTGCTTTATAGGAAGAGACGCATGGGGTATAGAGAAGCCATATTTAAATGTTTCAGAAGCTGGTTGTGAACTGCTTCAAGAGTTATGCATCCTAAAAGATGCTACACATTCGGGGCAAAATAAATCAAAAGTTTGGGTCAATAAAATCTCACATCTCACATTTTTAGACCCCCAAAAAGCACTTTCCAAAACCCCCATGCTCACCTCATCCTTTCCCTGTGGGGAGGTATGGTTTCATTGTCCTTCTTCCAGAAAAATATTGGGGGTGGCATCCCAATTACCCTACATTCTAATCGGACAGGATGTCCTTCTGGCACTCCACAGTTCTGTAGTCTCTCTAGTATCACTGGGGGTTTTTTAACTTCCTTTTCTGAAAAAGAAGAAAGGAACAAATGGATTTATTTATTTATTTTGACCTTGAAATGGTTGAAATGGTTCAAAATGGTTTCTGCAAGACTGTAAAAAGTTCTCTCTCTGTGTGTGCTGTCTGCAATATGAGGATGTGCATCTGTGTGTGTGTGTGTGTGTGTGTGTGTTAAAAACTTCTAGGCTGGCTGTAAGTATATAATCAAAGCCCCACTCATTTTTTTCATATGTTGTCCCTGATTGGCTAAACCTAAACTTTTGAATAAGGACATCTAGTTTACTCAATATGCACCTTGATCCTATAAACTCTGTAGGATCTTCCTGGAGTCCTACCTCCTTGTCAGTTCTTTAAGGAAGACCAGGTCAAGAAACAGACAATATGAATGCTATTTTATTGTTATAAGGGTATATTAAACAGAATATTGAAAGCCTATCCAAAATCTTCACTGCCCCATTTTTAGGACCACAAGGCTGTCTGCTCTGAGTCTCTTTCCCACATGTTCTTCTTTCCCAGGTCTGAGGCCATATTATTCTACACTCCACATTATTCAGAGGCTGTGCATTTTCTACATGGAAAAGAGATACGGAGTGCTGTAAATATCTATGTCAGTATTCTAGGTGTTTTGGCCACCTTAACAACTGTTCTCCCCAGAGCTGGATGACATAAAGATTTGGGGTTTGGCCAGTGACATCCCGCCCACTGCAAAGAAGCTCTGGCTCTTGAATTCACTCAAGCTCCCCATTCATGGTACACAATTCATTAAGATAATGAACATTTTCATAGGATTGAATTTTCAGCCACAGGGGTTCTAGTTAACAAAGTACACAAATGGGCTAATGCTCAGGGTGAATGAAGAAGAACATCTAACAAAGACTTACCTACAACAGACAGTTCCAAGCTGAAGGAATTTTGTCCTGTTTTGTTGGTGGCTATGCAGGTGTAGATTCCAGCATCACTTTGTCTGAGAGGATCGATAAGTAAAGAATGTACTCCGTTTTCTCTGACCAGCATCTTATGAGTGGCATCTGGTAACACAGGCTTGCCATTCCGAAGCCACATCAGATCCGGTGGTGGTAATCCACTTACCTAGCAGAGGACAAAACAATCGTAAGCAAGCGACATACTTTTTCATATTAGCGACCTCTATTCCAAATCTATTGTTCTTGTAGAACAAATGATGTATGAAAGCCAGGGAAATGAAATCGTATTCTAGGCCTGGATCAAAGTTTATAGTGAACCATAATTGGTTGTATAAGCCTAAATTAACCATGGTTTATTAAACAATAGTTGGCTCAGATACAAATGCACCGGACAAACCCCAAACATGCTCCTTGTGATGTGCAAACTGAATGTCAAAGAAATAAGCACGTGCATCATCTAACAGCTGGAACCCATGTTAATGAGAGTCACCAATGGACATTTTGTTGTAATGCCAGGGAAATCCACCATTCGCTTTCCTTAACTTGTCTCAAATGAAAGCCACCTGGTTGTGCTTGTGTTCTTAGAGAATATGAGCAAAGAGTAATGCAAATAATAATGCACTATTACTAATCCACCCCCTGCACCACCTATGCAGGTGACTAAAGAACCCCCCCCCAATCCCAATACCTTGCAATCGAGTCTGCAAAGCCGATCTTCATGGGCTACCATGTCCCCGGGTGCCTGCAGGAAATATGGCCGGAAAAAACGTTCCTGCAGAGGTTCCCGATCTCTTTCTGATACACGGGATCTTCCCCTGCAATTCAAACACATCAGAATAATGGATAGGGTGGGCATGAAGAAGTGCTTTTAGGTAAGAAAACATGGTCTCCTGAATGTCACTGCTTAGAAACTAAGGATTTCCAAACTTACAACTTGAATTTGCCAAATAAAACTCATGCTTACTTCACAATCTATGCTTTAGTGCCAGACACCTTTTTAACTTTATTTTTTATTTTTTACCTGTGAGACTGGATAGTTGTTGATAATCTACCCCGCAGTGGAGGAGTCTGAACCATCAAACGACCAGAGCAGCTGATTCTTCCCTGCCAGAACATGCAAGAGAGAAGAAACGTTATTTGCTCATCCATCATACATGATTCATTCTACATTGCTAGATCTCATTTGCAATACATATGGCTGATATTTAAGAAATAAGGCAAAAATCATAGTTTTATAACTATAAATCTTATACTGCAGTTATTGCCATTGTTGCTAAGATTCAAAATCAACTGATGGCACTCAATCAATCATTAAATATGACTTTCAAAATGTATGCGTCTTTCTTCATTCTCTTCAGCTTAAACAATGTACGCATATGTATGTGTATAGGAATTTGTACCTGAGGATTTGCAGCCATGAATGTATAGTTTCCGTCATCATCATTTGTAGAAGTCTCAATATGTAAAGAACAAGTTCCATCCTCTTGTCGAATCATTTTGAAATGTCCATTCTTCTTTGATATTTGTTTGCCATCCTTAAACCAGTACACCTGAGGGATTTTTAAAGAAAGATCTATTGCAGTCTTATTTTATGATATAATCCTATGTATATTGATTTAGAAAAAATCTCATTGAATTCATTGGGATTATTTATTTGAGAGTAAAAGGATTGCAGGAAACAATGCAGCAAATAGATTCTCAATTCAAGTTTTAATTTTGGAATAAACTACTTGAACAATGGGCCCTATCCAACAAAATGAGTTTCAGTGTGTAGAAAAGCAAAGCTTTACATTGCGGCAGGAAAAATCAAGGTACAAGTGCAGATTAGGCGAGACCTAGCTTAAAAACAGTAACTGTGAGAGGGAGCTTGGAACTCTAGTGGATAATCACTTGACTAAGAGCCAGCAGTGTGTAGTAGCAGCCAAAAAAACTAATATAATCCTGGGTTGTATAAACAGAGGCATAGAATCAAGCTCAGTACCACTTTATAAAACCCTAGTAAGACCACATCTGGAATATTGCAGCCAATTTTGGTCACTATATTACAAAACAGATATTGAGAGTTTGGAAAAAATTCAGAGAAGAGCAATTATGATGATCAAAGGCCTGGAGACTAAAACACATGAAGAATGGCTGCAGGACTTGGGTTTAGCTAGTCTAAAGAAAAAAAGAAATAGGGGAGACATGATAGCAGTGTTCTAGTATTTGAAGGGCTGCCACAAAGAAGAGGGGATCAAATTATTCACCAAAGCACCAGAGGGCAGGACAAGAAACAATGGTTGGAAACTGATCAAAGAGAGAAGCAACCTGGAAATGACTCTGATCCACCAAAGAAACAATATTTTCTGCTTCTTACGTCTTCTTAAATCTCTCCTGTTTATCTGCATGGCCCCCAAACCTCCAAAACAGAGTATTTTTTGTAATTATTGATTGAAAAAAATTCTAAGGCTTCTCTTATCATCATGGTGACCTCCAAGTGTGTTAGATTTCAGATTGTATGACCTGCAAAAATTATAGACAAAAGCCATGCCCATTGAGAAATAATGGGAGTTGGAAGGGCACTAAATTGGGGAAGTGTTCGTTCCCCACTGCATAACTGGGCAATGGCTGATGAGCATCATATTTCCTCCAGTGTGCAATTAAGAAGGAGCTACACATGGTATCATGCCTCCTGTTCTATGAAGTACAAAAATGAAGTGGAAGTAAAACACAGAGGCCAATTTGTATCAGCTCTCCTAAAACACAAGGGTACAACCTAAGAGGCAGGATCTTACCAATTAATAGGAATTAGAAATTGTCATGGCTTCCGTAGCACTCTGTCCTTTGAATATTTAGAGTCATAGGCATGGCTTGCCTTTCTGAAAACAAAATCTGACTCTGATCCACCAAAGGAAAAAAATAGTTGCTGCTTCTTAAGTCTTCTTAAATCTCCCCTGCTTATCTACATGGACCCCAACCCTCCAAAATAGAATATTCACAGCCACCTTTCCTTGCATTCTGCAAATACAAATGTCTTGGGTGTGTGTGTGAAGCTCTTTTTATTGGACTAGACCAGGGGTAGGCAACCTTGGCTCTTTTATAACTCGTGGACTTCAACTCCCAGAATTCCCGAGCCAGCATGGCTCAGCTTGGAAACCTCTCCCTTTCCCCTCAGCATGGCTGGCTAGGAATTCTGGGAGTTGAAGTCCACGAGTCATAAAAGAGCCAAGGTTGCCTACCCCTGGACTAGATCAAAGCAACTAACAGGAGAAATTGCCGGGAAGTGTTCTGCTGTTTGCTGGCCCTACCTTGGGTGTGGGGATTCCAACAGTTTTGCAAGTGAATGTAGCTGGATATCCTTCCAGGACACGGAAATGCTTGAGCCTCTTGTCAAAAATTGGAGCGATGCATTTGCCAGTGGGGATTTCGTCATGTTGGATCTCATCATCTGATTCATCCACCGGGGTACGTTCAAGCCGAAACTCTATTTCATTCATTAATCTCTGCTCAAAGTTGGAAATTTTATATTCCTGCAAAACAACAGTTGAATCAAGTCTACATATCTCACTGGAGGCTAATACATATTTCTTGGTATATAGTTCCCCCCACCCCCAGGTAATGGCTCCCATATGGCCAAAAACAATCATAAATAGATTCAAATTATTAGAGATTCAACAAACGTAAACCATATGAACAAATAGGGTGGGGCTAAGTGGATGGAAAACCTCTTACTCTCTTCATTTGTGCATTGCTCCAAATGATAGGAGGAATCGCCTCCCTAAATGTTTGTCATAGGATTCCATCAAAGAATAAACACAACTATCTTTTTTCATCTCTAATCCAGAGATGATTTCAGACAGGGGTCTTCAAACTTGGCCCTTTTATGACTTGTGGACTTCAACTCCCAGAATTCCTCAGCCAGTATGCCTGGCTGAGGAATTCTGGGAGTTGAAGTCCACAAGTCATAAAAGGGCCAAGTTTGAAGACCCCTGATTTCAAATTAGACCTTTGAATAGAGATGCTTCCAAATGCAAGATTAGAATCCAGTAATCAACTGACACTGCATTTCATAGTGAGGAAGAGGTTGTACCTTCTTCTCTTGCCAACAGGGAACATTCCTTCTTCTGCAGCAATAGCCTAGATAAAGATTTGGAGATGACTGTGGGTCTCACCTACCATCATTCAAGAGGTCTCCAGTGGGGCAACATGTGGCCACTTTTGCAACCCCAAAAATAAGTTCAAGTTTGCTGGAAATACAGTTTCTCACCATTTTGAAAATGAAAACCCATGAAATATGGAGTGTAAACTCTAAAATGGCTACGCTAGGGTTTATTTCTTAAAACCCATGATGCCCTCCCAGTGTGTGTGGGGTGACTCCATCTATCTTGTAGCCTCCAGCATTCTAGAAAATCCCTTAAGACCAAAAAGCAATTATCCTTATTTCAGGCCAAACTCATATCAGAAGTGTAAAAAAGTGTGAATTTATTATGTTGTGCCCTTTAATCAGTTTATTTGATAACAATAATTCAAAACAGAGTCCTGAATGAAAGAAGATAGACATCATTTTTTTCTTGTTCTTTCAATAAAGGAAGAAGCAGAGTAGAATTATCAGGCTAAAGAGACATCAATATTACAAAAGAGGAATTCAAGGAACTTAAATACTTTGTAAAACAATTTCCTTCTTTGAAAACAATAGATAACACATTTAAGGGAATTTAATTCTTAAGATCTTATAAATGGAAAATAACAACAACAAGCAACTTCACTCAAGCATAACAACAAGAATGATACACATACAAATAAAGCAATAATCTGCTCAAAATAGAATAGGCAATCTGAATGTTTACCATGAACATGTTTTTTTTTATCATTTCCTGGTCAATTAATTCAGTACAGTATTTCAGCAATTTCAAGATATGTAGACTTCAACAAGAGTTTCCAGGCTTAAGAAACTTAAGATAATAACACAAATTAAACATTTTCAAATCTACTGTTTTTACTTGTCTTAATATTGTTTGATTTCCACTTTGTCTATTAATGTTGAGATAAGGAGTTGAATCTCTGTCTTCTTTTGATTCCAGTAAAAGAAAATGAGGTGAAGCTGCTCGATTCATTACCATCTTTTTAAACTGGTGGAGGTGAGGGATTGTACCAAGTGGAGCTATTGGTCTCAATAGTTCCTCCCTTTTTGTATATTTTTTTTAATGAAGACTTTTGAAAAGAAGATAAAAACTAACAAGAATAGAAAAAATGAACCTAGGTGTCCATATGCCCAAGAAAATTGAATGTATATGTCTACTTGCTCTTACACTGAGTGAATAATAATATCAGCAGGATGAAGTTCAGGATAAGCTATCTTGTACCCAAAATGTAGGAGGTTCTAAATGGAAATTTCCCCACTGTATATATGAGAGTTCTTAGCCCTCACGTCTCAATTTAATCAGGATCATAGAACAAGGAGTATCATGTTCAACTATCCCCATGAGATTTTCTTAATCGAAACCCCTCTCTCACAAATAGCTGTTTGATGGGGAAATCATAAGGCACTTCCACCCCATCAATGTTTTCACCCCTAAAGCACTCCCTTCAGAAGTCATTTTGGGACAGTCCACATTTAACCTCACATACCCATCCTGTGGAATGAGCTTGTCATCCTCAACCTTCCATTTTTTGCTTCTTCTCTTGGTTAAAGAGAAGAGCCCAAGAACGGAGAGGGGGCATTAATAAAGTTAGTCATACCATCCTTGTACACATCATCCATCTAGAAGGACCCTTTGTGATGGGAGGTGAGGCAGAACTGATGGGAAAAAAGTCCTGGAGAGAAAAAAAATCACATTCTTCCGCTGTGGAGAAGCCTGTTTCCAGATCTTCCTTATTGCACTTATTCTGACTCTTAAATAGCCCTTTAAAAGGAATTGTATGCGTAAGATGACACATCTGTGAAAAATGCAGCCAGAAGTCTAGCTGCTAATTGGGAGTCCTATTACTTTCAAGATTATTAGGTTAACTCTGCTCCGTGGCTGCTCCCCAGTTGGCAGGCAAACTCCAGGCTTATAAGATTTCACCTTGTTTAATTTTGTCTTTCATAAAAGATACCTCAGCAGATTGCTTTAGAACATGAGCCAACTCTCATCTCAGTTGGTTGCTTCTTTTTGTTGTTATGAAACGCCTTTAAAAGTAGGAAAGCAAAACTGCCAGTCTCTGCCAATCAAACATACGTATTTATCCATAGTAACAACTTTGAGCAAAACCAGTAAATAGTAAATATAGCTATTGGAAACATTATTATTGCCTTCTGAGGTAAACCTCCATTATCCTTAAATTTAATGCCAGCATAAACCAGGATTGTCCTACATCTCTCAGAAATCTGCTCTCCATAATCTTTTGGTGCTAGTTGTACTTTATGATTTTACACAGGGGTGCCTATAGAGCATGGTCAAAAAAGTCAACAAGGCAGGCACAGCTTTACCTGTGTTTTTATGTAAATCATACATAAAATACACATAAAAACAGGAAGACTTTGATCACACCATTGTGGCCACCATCCTCACTTTTTATCACCCTCCCTAGACATCCCTGTTTTTTAGTTATAGACATCCTGAGGTATTTTATTTTTAGTACTGTAAGGAGTTGAGAATATTAGAAACAGAATGATATATAGGGCAGCACATCAGAATGCTACCTTGGAACATGGAAGAAACCTGGGCAGTTATAATGCTCATACAATGATTTCGGTAATATATAGATTTTGCTGAGGAATTACATTTTTGCCCTATAGAAAATATCAAAAGAATGTCTATAGTATGGGTGTCAAATTTGCCACATCACGTGATGTGTCATAATGTATCGTGACTTTTTTTGCATTGCCCGAGCTGAGGTGGCGCGGCCTTTGCATGGATGCATTCGGCCTGCAGGCCGGTAGTTTGACACCCCTGGTTTATAGTATGAACTCAGGCTGGGGATTCTTAACTGCAATGAAGGCTGCAAACTGAAAACCTGTAAACTGAATATGTATCACAATAAAAATCTGGAAATGTTACTTACTTTGGAATATAATGGATTGTGAATCTTGAATTAACAACAGTTAACTTGTGAGCTGCTTGAATGCTCTCTAATCAGAATGCAAACACACTAAACTATGTTTCAACAGGGTTTTCAATTTGAACCTTTCTTGTGGTTCACGAAATACCTTTGCTTTGCACCCAGATTTCTGGTAATTAACATCTTTGGCTGCTATTAAAATACCATGAATAATCAAGAATGATCACCGCTCATTTTAATGTAAGAAAACCCCACCTCATTTCAATGGCAGAAGCTGAATTTCAGGTTTTGCATTCTACTGAACATATGTACATATGAGGCACACATGTGTGGGAAAGGAAGGCTGTACCTGGGATACTTCCTCAGCGGTAAACTTGAAGGTTGGGGAATGAGGGCTGGGTCCCTGAAGCCCGCGAGCCAGATTTTCATCATAGGCTGTTTTCTGGCGGAGGGAACGAGGAATGAGGAAAATTGCATGAGGAACAGGTTATGAAAACATTTATGGGTATTATTTTATTGAAATAATGAAGAAAGAACCGAAGGCAGCTTCAGAGGTGAAAGCGAACTTAGGATTTAATTGCTACTAGATGGTATAATTTATTTAAGTAACTGAGGTAGCATAGAATGTTTTATAGGTTGCATATTATATATACATATATAGACACATATGTACATACACACCCTTGGTGGGCAAATGTGGGCTGCTATTTTTTGGCTATTTGTATTATTAAATATGAGATATTATCAGAGATTTTTTTTTCAAAAAAGAGCTGTAACTGTAAATAAATAATAAATATACTACAAATCATGGTCTATTTGCTCCCATATGTTTCTTAGAAGATATGATGTAATTTTGCTTTTTTAATTTTTTTTATGTACCACAAGGTTGTTGCTGACTCTTAGCCACCACATAAGATAGATTTTATCCCTGATGATTTGTACCTAATGTGGTCCTTCAGGTCTTCCAAGTATAATTATACATTAAAATCTGTAATTTTACAATCCCTATTATATACACATACACACACTTTTAAAAAATGGGACTGTACATTTTCCAAAACCTGAAAATAGATCTCAGAAATTTCCAGTTCAATTACCTTTTTTTTTTTTACAATGGATCAAAAGAATGAAGCTGAGATTTTTCTCTTTCAATGGTGTTAAAAATTGGAATCAAGTATCTCTGGGGAGACTATAGGTTCACAATCAAGATTTGCAAATATATCAAAGATTGCAAACTATTAGAAAAATGCAATCTAATATAAACAATATCCATCTATTTGAGTTTTAATGTAAATTAATAATAGGGGTGATAAAGCATATTTGGATGAGCATTTTTTTTCAGTTTCTACCTAACTGTTCACCACTGCCATTTTCCTAACTTTTGTATGCTCCCTCCTTCACAACTTGTCCGTCTCTTTTTGCCAAAATAAAGTCCTCCACCATCATTGTTCCACTTTGCTTGAGATTTGCAATGTTTGGTTTTTCATATTGTGTGTATTTCTCAGGTAATATCTCAGATATCATCTGGATAATATCTTCTTTCCCACTAGTATTTTTGAAAACAACCTCATATTAAGCACATCAAACCATTGCAGAGTTTGACTATCTATCCGTTCCCTTCAACAGACTAATGCTTCAGAGAGGGGCAAAAAATATCATCACCCCATTTTCTTAGCTGAACAATTTTGGGCTAGCAAGGATTCCATGTCCAGATGTGCCAGATCATTTAATGTCGTTTACTCATTAAACTTTGGCAACGATTCCTATTATGATGTGCAACATGCTAAGGAATTCATTTTCGTCTTGGCACTTGCTACTCTAAAGGAATAATTTTCTCTGGCAGAATTGCATTTGTTTCAGTGGCCCTTAACCCACTCAACAAAGCAAAGAAAAAATAAATCTAAGTTTCCCTCAAATTCTTGTAATGGCTTGGGAATGTCCATGTAGTTTCGTTGACAACAACATGGAGAGACTGGATGTCTTTTCTGGGATTAGTTTCTCAGTCTTTCCTATAATGGTAAGGTTACACTTGGAATACTGCATCCAGTTTTGGTCACCACAAGGTAAAAAAGATGTTGAGACTCTAGAAAGAATACAGAGAAGAGCAACAAAGATGATCAGGAGACTGGAGGCTAAAACATATAAGGAACGGTTGCTGGAATTGGGTATGTCTAGTTTAATGAAGAGAAGGACGAGGAGGGACATGATAGCAGCTTTCCAATATCTCAGGGGCTGCCACAAAGAAGACGGAGTCAAGCTATTCTCCAAAGAACCTGAAGGCAGGACAAGAAGCAGCGGATGGAAACTAACCAAAGAGAGAAGCAACCTAGAACTACGGAGAAAGTTCCTGACAGTTAGAACAATTAACCAGTGGCACAACCTGCCTCCAGAAGCTGTGAATGCTCCAACACTGGAAGTCTTTAAGAAGAGATTGGACGGCCATTTGTATGAAATGGTATAGGGTTTTCTGCCTGAGCAGGGGGTTGGACTAGATGACCTCCAAGGTCCCTTCCAACATCATCATCATCATTATTATTATCATTATCATCATCATCATCATCATCATCCTGGAATTTTCTAATGATTTCCAATTTCCCAGATCTGAAATTGGTTCTGAAGCAAGCCTAGATGGGCTTCTTTTAATAAAAGAGGAAGAGAGAAGGATACACAGACCATTTTCAAATTAGTGATTTATGACCTCTTATAGCATCACTCAGCCATTGCTATGGAAATTAAATTACAAACCAACCTCTTTTATTATTGATATATTGCACAGCACCAGCACTGAAAAAAGTGACTTATGATTGGTGCTCACATTTATGACTGCTATAGCATCCCTGCGATCACAGGATAAAAATTCAGATGTTCAGCAACGGGCATGTATTTATGATGGTTACAGCATCCTGGGACAATGTGATTGCCCTTTGTGGCCTTCCCAGCTAGCCTTTAACAAACAAAACCAATGGGGCAACCTAGATATGCTTAACAATTGTATCATTCACTTAGCTGCAGTTTAACAACTGTGGCAAAAAAAAGTCATAGAATCAGACACGACTCATTTAACAACTGCCTTGCTTAGCAGTGGAAATTCTGGTCCCAGTTGTGTTCATAAATCAAGGACTACCTGTGTACAGCACAGTAAGTTACAAGTGTAGAATTGCCTTGGGACATTTGCTTGAAACTATGAGGAGAATAATAATCAGTCCATCACAATAGTAATAAAGGTTGTAACTTGGTGCTTCTATCCTCTAAAGCAGGGGTCCTCAAACTTGGCCCTTTTATGACTTGTGGACTTCAACTCCCAGAATTCCTCAGTCAGAGTGCCTGGCTGAGGAATTCTGGGAGTTGAAGTCCACAAAACATAAAAGGGCCAAGTTTGAAGACCCCTGCTCTAAAGACAATCCCATTAGGTGTACTTACTCAGTTGAATCCCAAGTAAGTGTGCATAGGAGTACAACCTTTGTGAACTTATACAACATGCCACACTCTCATCTATTGGTTCAGTGACTGCAGAATGAAGGAGGCTTCTAAAGGAGCCATATATCACTAATGCAAAACTCTGGGTGATATTTTATCATCATCTTTTCAGCAATTTATCTCACTCTTTCCTTCAGCAAGTAGGAACTTTAGCACCTTTGTTTCTGCCATCTGCTCAAATATGCCATGTGTTTGTGATTTACTAGAAATTATTCAGTAGCTCAATCTAAAGGAAGAGACTGAAACATTTATTGGCTGTGCCGATGCTAATTTTCACTTCTGTAGAGTTTCTTTCATTCTAGTAAGTCGGGGGATACGGAAAGTTGAGACCACCTGCAAGCATCACAATGTTGACAATGCTGGTATGTGGGGAAAAACATCCCCTCAGTCATCCCAAGGGTATTCCTAAATCTATTTCACAATCTGTCATGTGGTATTTACTCAGTTTAATTTGGTTTGTTTTGCCCCACTTGGCCCTGGGACCTGTTTGCAGGAAGACAGCTCAGTTCTAGATTCTATAAAAATAGTAGGTCTAAAAATATGAAGTCTCATCTCTTCCAAAATGCTAGTCACTTGCAAAGCCATCTTAGCTATGATTACAGGAAAGAGTTAGTCTCCAGCTAGGTTGAGCCTGCATGCTAAAGTAGAATGACAGGATACCTGATGTCATTGGGCTATTAACCATAATTCAGTTCTATTCCAATTAACAGGTTTTTGCTCATGCCTTGTCCTAGGTCTGCTATTGCCACTTTCACATGGTGAGAATTCCTGGATGGGAGAATAAATCTGGAATGAACCTTTCAGTTTGGCTTCCGGACAGAGATGGGAAAGTGAGGCTGCTGTAGCCTCAGCATTACTTTTTTCCTTTTTCACATGTGAACTCAAGTCACAAAGGGGGTGAGAGGAGGCAAAGCCTTCTCCTATACTCTTTGGGGCGGTTCCAGTCTGAATTTTTATATATTTATTTATCAGTCTGCCAGCCAGCTCTCTGAGGTATTCATGTGTGTATTAAAAAAATCAAGACGGTGGCAGTATAACTGAAGTCACCCCAGCCCCCTTTTAAAGTTACATGTTGCCATTTTGACATTTTTGACCCTGTCTTTGGGTCTAGCATCTGTCTGCTAGATTATTTGGTAAAAGAAGTGGCTGCCACACTGAGTCTAGAGTTAGGTTAGGAAGACAATATTGCAGTGATGGCGAACCTTTTAGAGACTGAGTGCCCAAACCACAACCCAAAACCCACTTATTTATTGCAAAGTGCCAGGGCCGCATCAGCATTGTGGTGCCCTCGGGCGGGGGGACATGGAGGCTTGGCCAATTGGGTGGGCGTGGCCCACTGGGTGGGTATAGCTGCGGTTGTCACGGCAGACTGGGTGGGCGTGACTGGGGTGGGCACAGCCACCTCGATGTTGCTCATGGGGGGGATATCTGTGGTGGCCGGGCAGAGTTGGGAGAGATCCAGGGGGTCTCTGGTGGGTGGGGTGGTAGGCAGGAAGCCCAGCATAGATGGGGGGAGGCACGCAATCCTAGCTGGGACTGGGGGCCCATGGTACTGATGGGGATCCGGCTTTCCCTGCTTGGGGTGGCCTTTGGCTTGTTGGGCGTGGGAGTGCTCTACCACCTCTACTCAAGCTTGCTAGCTGACCGCTTTGCTCCTTTGTGCTGGGTGGGGCTGCTGCTCCGGGTGGCGGCAGCGGCCTAATAGACCTGCGCAAGCTGCTGGCAGTAGCAGTGCGTGTGCCCACAGAGAGGGCTCTGAGTGCCGCCTCTGGCACGTGTGTCATAGGTTCGCCACCACTGCAATATTGCATAGTGTGCAAACATGCCAAAATGAAGAGTATCCCTCTGCACGTTGGAAGCCTAGTTCTTTCTTTTCCATTTCTGACTTTTCATGAAAGATATAAGGCCAAATAAATAAAAGAACACAATAGGATTGTCAAGCTATTACATGAACACAATGGCATGAATTACTGCACTGGCCTGTTCAAAGGAATATACCAACATTTGGCATTGCTTGGACCAGAAATAAGCAAACTTTGGATAGTCTAATACCACTCTTCAAATTTGGATGGGAAAGTCACCACGTGGATGCAGACAATCATATCGGTGGATGGGGCTGAACTGAGTATTTTTTTAAAAAAACAAACAGTGATGTGTCTACTTTAGCTATAATGTACAGTAGCTTATATTTTGCACCTTAAGGAGGAGGCAACTTTGCCTTTAGATTTAAGCAGGCTTGGGCAAAGTGGCTGTGGGGGTTTCAATGTGGAGAATAAGTAAGATGACCTTGATGGAGATATGCAGAAGCTAGATGGAAAGGAGCTAAACCAGGATGTCCAGATAACATTCATAAGTGCCTCAGACTGGCATTTACCAAACTATAAGAAGGAAGAAGAGGTATAGGACAGGACACTCAGACTTGCAAGATTCTGTTATTATAGCCCATCTCAACAAAAGTAGCCTTCTTGGGGATTTGATCTCCTGCTTGGGTCTACCTTGTAGGACTGATACCTTGAGGTTCTATATTCCCCTTTCCTTGGTGATACTTCTATTAGAGCAGTGGTTCTCAACCTGTGGGTCGGGACCCTATTTGGGGTCGAACGACCATTTCACGCGGGTCACCAAACAATGCAGTCTGCCATTTTTTCCCCTTTTCCTTAGCTGTGCTACTCCCTTCTATTCTATTGGCTTTTGAAAGCCAATAGAATAGACTCTCTTGAATAGAGTCTAATTCTATTGGCTTTCAAAAGCCAATAGGAATTGTCCAGGCTGTCTCTGCCCTGCTGAGCCCGCCAAAAGTCCCATTCTGCAAACGGTGCTGCACCAGTTGAGTAGTCCTCGACTTATGACTGGTTGGGGGTCGCGGCATTAAAAAGGTTGAGAACCACTGTATTAGAGTTTCTGAGAAAATATCTGGTAGTACTGTTTGGAGCTGAGGAATGAGCTCCCAAGCCACCTCTAGTTTTATTTTCCTTGCCTAACAAATATATGTTAAATACACAGATAAATAAACAAGATCTTGTATACAAGATCAGTGATGGACCGGAGCAGGTGCACCGTTCTACTTTCTGGTACCCCTTTCAACCTTCCTCTGGTGCTTCTGTGACAATTGCAGCAGGGATAGCTGGCAGCCCTCCATCCGGAGAAGACCCCTGCCAGAATGCTTCTGGGTCATGTTCTAGAGGTATTCTGGGAAAAACTGGCAGTCCATTTCCTCCTGAAGAATAAACTTAGTACCATTCCTTGTTGTTAATTAAAAAAATAAAACTAATGGGAGATACAGTGATGTCTTCAACAACCTTGCTAAAAGCAAGATAGGCAACATCCTGAATTATAATCCAGTACAATGGACTGTGCTGGTAACAGCAGTTAAATATCAATATAATCTTGACAATGATGCACAGTATGATCACTTATTGATGTATATTGTTGACACACTCCATATGAAGCACATTTTTTTTGTTTACTGCAATTTATGTCATTCCAAACAGGATTCTGAAATGTTTATATTCGTCCATTAGAAAATTGAAGTAGTAATCAATGCAACAAGGACTAGCATTGGCCCTTGTACCAGTGGAACAGCAATAGGACATAGAAATCCGTAACAGAAGGATTCCACTTAATACGAATCACAACAAGCCACAACAATATTTTTTGGAATAGCCAGGTTTTAATGGCTTTCTGCAAAGCTAATCAGGTGATGCTCTACTGAGAAAGTGGTAGCTCTACTGAGAAAAGTCCCTGAAGATGACACTCCTGAAGAGGAGGAACTTGGAGAGATCCCATCATTCCTCATTTTACAAGTTGAGGAGAAGTCATTAAGAGAAGGTGGATCCACAGATAGCCAAATTGTAAGCTATATATGATTTTAAAGGTAATAACCAACATCTTGAATGGCACTTAGAAGGAAACCAGTAACCAACGCAACTCTCGAAACTTATACAGGAGAACCTATGGATCCCATCTCTACTTGTTGCATTCTGGATCAGTTGGACTTGTGCACTGCAAAAGTCCAGACAAGAGGCGACTAAGACAGGAGTGACTGTGAGCAGGGCCTCTCAGACAAAGGCAATCATAACTGTCGCATCAAATGCAATTGTGGAAAGGGCCTCTTAGCCATAGCGAAGGAACCATGAGCTTTATCAGGGCCCTCAAGTTACAAACTAAGCCCATGCAGGATGGCGCAATTTAATCCACAGTCAAAAATAGAAGATAACCAAAGTGCACCCCTAAATCATTCCATCATGCTGGGATTAAGCCTGATCCTGGTCACTTTCAGAATTTAAGAACCTCTAGGGAGTGAGATAGGACCTTCACTTTTGCAAGGTGAGACAATTGTCTCGATTGGAAGTCATTGGAATAGTTAGTGACTGAGTATGTATCATTCTCCTCAACCTGTCCCCTCATCAGGAGGGGGAAATGGCTAGTTCCAAGATAATTGAAACCATGCTATTTACAGCTCTGGTATAAACAACTATTAATTATTGACAAATCTGTATGCTTTAGACCAGAGGAGTCCTACCTTGGCAACTTTAAGACCTGTGGACCTCAACTCCTAGAATTCCCCAGCCAGCCATGCTAAAGTCCATATGTCCACAAGACACCCCTGTTTTAGATAAATCATGATATCCTATAATAAGTGATTGTAAGCAAGAAACATTTGCATTTACTTTGTAGGATCAGTCTATAAAATCCTTCCCACGTTTGGGACTTTGGAACAGGGTGTGGGAGTGCATATCTTGGATAGAATTTTACCTCTTTCCTATGTCAAGGGGCTCCATTTGATGCAATCAACACCTTTTGCCCATTGAATGCCACACTACCTGAGAGGTTTCCTTTTTCCAGGTGTAGCTCCCCCAAATTTTGACATTTCAGAAGCACACACATTTTAACAAACTGACCTGTTGACTATGGAAAGAGTCCTCATTCCATAAATGCAGCCGTTTCTCTAAATCTTTCACAACCATGGCTTTGTGATCTTTCATAGCATCCTCTGTTGATGATTGCAAAGGGTTGAGATTTTTCTTCAGCGTTCCATGGCTTCCCCTGTGAAATTGAGACTCAGTTTAACACCTGCTTAAGTACTGACTTAATCCATCAGCTATTCCGAGGGGCAAAAACACGAAGACTTGACAGTGCTGGAAGTTGACTTACTATCTCAGATGGGTTCTGAATCCTGTGATATGTCTGAGTCTTTACAGAACCCCTTTTGCTTTTTGTTAAAAAATCTATAGTGGCTCCACTATTTGGTCCTGTGAATTCTTATACCATTTAGTTTACAAATGCTGAATAAAATTACACTAGCAATGCAAATATAGAATAGAAAGAGAACCTAGGTATGCTTAAAAAAACCTAGCAATGCAATATTATACTAGATCAAATGCCATTGACTGTTATCATTATTGCTATACAGGTTTAATTTTTTTTTCTGCCTATATAAAAAGCCATATGGCTTTTTCTTTTTTTTAACTAGAGAGGTTGTGTTGATGTATCATGGAATCCTCCTCATGGACTTGAAGCATGGACTTTTAAAACATAGAACCCAGAATCATAGAGCTGGAAGGGACCTCAGAGGTCATTGACCGATAGTTCAACCCCCTGCTCAAGGCAGATGACCTTATGCCATCTCAGACAAATGGTTGTCCAGTTTACTTTTGAAAACCTCCAGCAACGGAGCACCCATAATTCTGGAATGCAACCTTCTCCACTGGTTAATTTCTCACTGTCAGAAAATTTCTCCTTACTTCCAAGTTAGATATGGCTTTAACAAGCTTCCATCCATTGAATCTTATCCTGCCCTCTAGCACCTCAAGTATTAGAAGACTGTTATCATGTCCCCTGATCCCTGTCTTCACTTGGCTAGACATACTGAACTCCTCAACAGTTCTTCATACGATTTAGCTTTCAGATGTCTTATCATCTTTATTGCTCTTCTCTATACACTTTCTGGGGTCTCAGCATTGTTTAGATCATGGTGACCAGTTTTTAAGAACAATCTTTCAATACATTAAACTAGACTAAACCCTCTAAGTCAGGGGTCTTCAAACTTGGCCCTTTTATGACTTGTGGATTTCAACTCCCAGAATTCGTCAGCCAGACACACTGGCTGAGGAATTCTGGGAGTTGAAGTCCACAAGTCATAAAAGGACTAAGTTTGAAGACCCCTGCTCTAAATATTGTGGGACTAGAACTCCCAGAACTCTTGCTGGCTAGGACTGATGAGGCTGGTGTCAGTAAGTTTTGGAAAGCCACATATGTTTTAACTAGGCAAAAGTAGATGATTCCAACAGAATGGCTGGATGGATAATCTCCAGGGCAGCAGGTGCTGTACATATGATTTCTCAATCTCGTCTGGTTGCTGAAACAGAGACTGTCCAATGCTGCAGTATAAATTACAGAAATCTCCCAATTTCTATCTGGGAGAACAAGGAAATGGATGAGTTCAGCATCTTGACTGAATATCTGGAGGGTGCACTTGGAGCTCATTTTACTTAGTTATTTTTAAACAGACACATTTTGATCCTGGACAGTTTCCATTTACAAAGAAAGAAATTAACTATTATGCAGGGCCGTGACTGGAATCTTTTATATTTTTACTCAGATTTCAACCCTTTGATGAAGGAGATGATGATGAACATTTGGGGAGTCAGTGATAGGCACTGGGGGGGGGGGTAACCAAAGCCTTGTCCCTTATTATGTGCCTGCAACGCACATGTCAAAAGGGGATGGGGCTTCAATCACTCAATCATCCCTCCTGGTTTGACACTGCTAACCAATCGATGGGCTGACGGTGGTGATTGGATATTGTTATATCCTATTTTTAGTTCAAAAATCCTTGGAAGGAGCTGCACATTTTAAAACATAGATTTTACAAAAGCAAGCCCGCTCAGATAAGGTAACACTGAAGCAAAGGAGCACTAAAAGATAAAATCAGAAAGCTACAAAGGCAAGAATCAATCCAGTGTGAAGGTTGGTTTTTCAAGAATGAGGACACTTACAGGACCGCATATTGCCACATAGTTCCCAGAGACCGGTGAGGTCCCACAGATTGGGCCTCCTTCAGGTCCCGTTGGCCAGACAACGTCAGCCGGCGGGCCCTCGGGGAAGGGCCTTTTCTGTGATGGCTCCGACGTGGTGGAATCAACTTCCCCCCGAGATTCGAACTACTCCCACCTTGCCGGCCTTCAAGAAAGCCATTAAAACTCTCCTGATCCGGCAGGCCTGGGGTTGATGTCCCCGGTGGGGCCGGGATACGATTGGGACATGCTGTATGAATGCACTCATTTTTATTGTTATATTTATTGTTTTAATTTTGTACGCCGCCCTGAGTCCCTAGGGATTGGGCGGCATATAAATTTTATTAATAAATAAATAAATAAATAAATAAATAAATAAGAGCTGGTATTAATAGAAGTTGCTCTAATGCTCATGGCAAGACAGAATCAGGATGTCCTAAGAAACTGCTTGAACAGAGTGACAACGCTGCCATTAAGTGTTTGTATGAATTTATAGTCATTGATATAGCAGCGTTCATATTTAACTATTCCAGAGGTGATACATTTCCTCCTAGGCTCAACTTTTATTGATTGACTTTTATTTATTTGTTTGATTTATATCCTACTTTTTGACTCAATGATACATTTAGTGAGTCACGTTGTCACTGTTTCTGAATATTCTTTAAAGACCCAAAGGATACTTTCTGGCTATTTGGCACATAATGTGAATCCATAATTGTTGGGGGTTTTTTTGCTTTTGTTTTAGAGTGATGGACCAAAGAAAATGAGATGGAATGTATTAGGTAAAACGTAAACCTCTGAGTTAGTTCCCCCCCCCCCAGCCTGCTGCCCTCTAGAAGTGGATTATGTATTTCTCACAGCCTCCAACCAAGTCATTTAATGTTATATTGGGGATGTAAGAGAATTATAATTTGATACATCTGGTGGGACATTATGTTGTGGAAGGTTCTCTAGATGACTTCTGCAAACAGTTCAAACAGACTTTAAACAATAATAACAAAAGTACGGAATTCTGCAGAACAGCATAACAAAGGGCTGTCCTCTGTGTCTAACTGAGGAAAAAGTATCTTGCGAACCTTTGGAAACAATTCAGTATGATTCTCCAAATAGTCCAAAAAAGGACTATCGAAAGGACCACTGAATTGAGTGGGAAAGAATAACCTCATCTACAGCTTTAATCATAAATAATGAAATAAGGTGACCAACCGTCCTCCTTTAGGGAGGACAGTCCTCCTTTTGTAAGTTCTGTCCTCCTTCATGTCCTCCTTTTCGATATTTGAAGACTAATCTGCAGGGCTTTTTTTCCCCCTCATAGAATGCTCAGAACTGTGTTCCGGGGCCTTTTTTTGATGGTTTTTTTTTTCAACTTTTGCATGAGCTGTGCTACTTCCCCTATTGGCTTTCGAAAGCCAATAGGAATTGCTGCTGAGCGCGCCAAAACACCCGGCTGGCAAACTTTGCACATGCAAGTTGTCTGTATTATTGTTGCAATGAATAAAATGTTTCTTTTATTTACGATATTTTTTTCTTCAATTTATTTGTGTCCTCCTTTTCATTGTAAAAAAGTTGGTCACCTTAGAAATCACACTATTGCAACCACACATTTTAAATTATATAATATCCTCTCTTCGGTCAAGTCAATTTCAGGGAACAACAACAACAAAAAAAGCAAAGACGATCCAGAGGTAAGTCTAAGATATTAAGAAAAATAGGTAAAATTGTAATCGTAGAGGAGGAGGAGAATGCAAGGGAGAATGGGAAGAAGGAGGAGAGGAAAGCTACTTTAACTTGCTGACTGAACAGATAGCCAGATCAGTATATTTTCACTGACCTGATCTTTCAACGTTTGCATTACTTACATAGTAGGTGCACCTTTAGGTAGGCCCATGGCATTTGTTGGGGGTGTAGAAGGAAGCGCAGGTAGAACGGCACTCAGGAAAGCCACGGGATTCTGGATCCGACTGGTAGGAGACAGAGGTATAAGAGGCACATTTTGGGGCTGGAACTGGTTCATGTTAGACACAGAGAGCAGAAGTGGTGGCAACGTAGGTTCTCTGGGAGTTGGAAAAGGCTGCTCCATTTGGTTTGTCAACCCTCCTGGAGCTTTTGATTGGGCTGGTGGAGGAGATACTAAGAGGTTTTCCTTCTTCGCCGTTTTCTGGGTTCCTTGAGGTACATTGCTGAAGCTAGAAAGGCTACCAGTGGCTGAAGTGTTTTGAGATGCCAGGAACTGTTTAGGTCGAGTGTATGTGAATGCCTGCGTAGAAGGAACCTTGTTCTGCTTGTATGTAGCTGATGAAGGTTGCTTCTGGTGCTGGTGCTGAATGGGCAAAGTAGCAGATTTTCCTGGGCCGGTGCTAAATAATGACTCTGGTGGAACTGGGTAAGACGGTTGTTGGATTTGCTGTTGCTCAAACAAGACCTGATTGTGTAGTTGTTTTAACTGGGTGGCATCCCTGTATCCAAAAAATAAAAACAGATGTAATTTATATTATAGGGTGCTTGGAAGGCATTGAACAGCTGTAGGCTCTACTTTTGAAACCAGATCAAAATTATACATTTTGCCTTGTATTTTCAAAGCTTTTTTTTTTTTTTTTACAGCAAGTAAGACCTGGAGGAAGGCACAACAAACAATTCAAAATCTGTATTATAAACCTCCATGGACCTGAAATACTTTTCATTTTTTCTTTCCAGCCAGAATGTCTATTAATCAAAGCTACACCTATTTCGTCTTTTCTTCTGCCCCTTCACAGAATTTCAATAGTAAGAAGAAAATGTGGGAAAGGCAGTGGAAGAACACAGGGAGGTTGCAATATAATCTGAATCTCCCAATAATTTTTGTGAGTGAAGTAAGCAGGGACATCTACTGGGGGAGGTCAAAAGAGTCAAGATGGCAGCAATGACTGTGTTATCAAAGCCTGTCCTTCTTTATGTGTGTTTCAAGTGTCACGTCAATAAAAGGGTGGGACTTTGATCACACAGCCACAACCACTCACTTGACTTTTTATCTCCTCTTTGCCCACCCCGTTAAACTCCCTAGAGCAGTGATGGCGAACCTTTTAGAGACCAAGTGCCCAAACTGCAACCCAAAACCCACTATGTATTGTCGGGTGCCGGGTGGGCGTGGCCCATTGGGTGGGTGTGGCCCATTGGGTGGGCATGGCCCTTTGGGTGGGCGTGGCTGCAGTGGTAACAGCAGACTGGGTGGGACTAAAAAGTTCAATCAATCAATTCCAACTTTGCGAGATCTTTTTTTTCCCGCAAGAAGTTGAAATTGATTGATTGATTGAACCTTTTTTTTTTCTTTTTGCACACTGCGGCGGAGGCCTAAAGCGAAAAGGTTTTATAAAACCCAGCTGAAGGCCTAGGACTGGGGTGACGGTGCACGTGCCCACAGAGAGGGCTCTGCGTGCCACCTGTGGCACGCGTGCCATAGGTTCGCCACCACGGCCCTAGAGGCAGTCACAACAAAACTTCACCAAAAACATCCTAGTTTTTTCTTTGTGGGTATCCTTTATTCTTCAGGTTTACCAAAGAATCTGGAGACCTAATATTGTTCTGTAGCAGGGATGTCCAACTTTGAGAACTTTAAGACGTAGAATGGCTGGCTGGGAAATTTTGAGAGTTGGTCCACAGGTCTTAAAGTTGCCAAGGTTGGATATTCCTGTTCTATGGCAAAATAATATTTCCAGATTGACAACATATTTCACTTCCTGCAAGCTTGATGCTTACGTATTTATTCACAGGTAACTTTTCTATTACTCTGTGTTCTTATTGGCTTCAAATGTATAAAGATAGTGAAGAAGTTAGGAAACAAAGAGCAACAATCTACACCTCCTCAGCCCAGGCGCTCAATGCTGTATTAATTTATGAAGTAAGAAGAACTACATTGAACTTATAATGGGATGTCCCTCTGGCATTAAATATGTGCCAACCGGTATTTTCTTACTCACAGTTTAGGTTTTGCCAGGACGGGTGGTGGCTCTTTGGAGGGTGAAGAGGGCTCCTGAAGTTTAAAAGCCTGTCCATTGATTTTATTGGGAAAACTGTTTGGTCTGGCTTGATTTTTAAGTCCGCTTCCGTCTTCTGATGATGTCTCACTTCCCTTATCATCTTCAGGGAGTTTAAAGTGCACACGGAGGCCGATTTTGGAACTTGACCGCGGCTCATTGTGATTTACCAGAACGCTTTCCAGTTTAGGTTTTGGAGCGTTATCTATCAACGAAAGTGAAGGAGTGGATGCTGAAGGCTGGTGTTCAGAAGCCACTAAACTGAGAGAACTTATGGTATGAAGAGCAGCATTACTTGTTTGGTCCACAGGCCCTACAACAGAAGCATTGTTTGTTTGTTTGCTTATTTAATTATTTAGTTATCTATCAAAATTGTATGCTGCCCATCTTGCCAAAAGCGATTCTAGGGGGCTTACAGACATTGAATAACATGCAGTTGTATAAAACATTAAAACAATAAATAAAGATCTTAAATTTAAAAATTCAATTAAAGTAAAACTAAGCGGGAAGAAGAGGGAGGGAGCAACGTGTGCCCACGGAGGAGGTGGGGTGTTATCTACTCCATCAGCCACCTCCAATGTACCACAACCCCATTAGGGACTGAGACTAGTTGGCCGTCAAGGCCTTTTGACCCAGACCAGGAAAGGCTCTTCTTCTAGACCAGTGGTTCTCAACCTGTGGGTCAGGACCCCATTTGGGGTCAAACGACCATTTCACGGGGGTCGCCAAACAATGCAGTCCGCCATTTTTCCCCTTTTCCTTAGCTGTGCTACTCCCTTTTATTCTATTGGCTTTTGAAAGCCAATAGAATAGACTCTCTTGAATAGAGTCTAATTCTAGCTTTCAAAAGCCAATAGGAATTGTCCAGGCTGTCTCTGCGCTGCTGAGCCCACCAAAAGTCCCATTCTGCAAACGGTGCTGCACCAGTTGAGTAGTCCTCGACTTACGACCGATTGGGGGTCACGGCATTAAAAAGGTTGAGAACCACAGTTCTAGACTTTCCCAGCCAAAATTCCTTGGCCAAAAGATTTGCAGCATGCCCCTTTTGCCAGCACGGGTGGGGCAGTCTAATGTCCCATCAGGGTGAGCTGGTTTCTCAGATAGCCTGCACTTGTGCCCTGAAAGGTTGTAAAGGTGATAACCAACACCTTGAATTGGACTCACAAGTAGATTGGCAGCTTTCAGAACAGCATGTAACATGGGCCGTCCCGGGGCCCCCAAGAACTGCCTGATTAGGCTTGTTTTATCATGCTTAAATAAAACAATAGCAATAGAAGAAAATAAATATTGTTGGGTGAATTATGCAAACAAAAATGTACATTTTGGGCACCGATTAGGAATATTGAATTGATCCAAGGGCATCCACAGGAAGAAAAAAAAAAGTCAGGATGACATCTGTGATTGTGTGACTGAAGTCCCATCTCTTTTGTACATGTGTTGTTTCCCCTAGATCAGGGGTAGGCCACCTTGGCTCTTTTATGACTTGTGGACTTCAACTCCCAGAATTCCTGAGCCAGCAATGGAAACCTCTCCTTTCCCCTCAGCAATGCTGGCTCAGGAATTCTGGGAGTTGAAGTCCACGAGTCATAAAAGAGCCAAGGTTGCCTACCCCTGTCCTAGATTAATATAGAGGAAACCCATATTGTTTTTCTCAGTTTTCATTTGGCTGTTTTTATTTGAATATTGTTTTAAAAAATTATCAAGCATATCATGCATACCCATTCCTTGATTGCAAGTTTTCCTAAATTCAAAGCATTTGTATGCAATTTTCTCTAATTTTTTTCTATGGTTTATTTGTATTTTCCTGCAAATTTTTGTTCTAAATGGATCTTTCACAAATACATGATTTCTTCTGCAGTTTTTTAATTGGCAAAAACAGTCTAGCAAGTACCTCTAATTGCTGTTGATGGAGCAACTGTTTTGACAGATTGTGGCTGGGGAGCATTTTTCCCCCTCCACTCATTTTTTCTCCAGTGCCATCTGTGACCCAAATATATAAATTAGATCAGAAAATGAATATAAATTGAATAATCAGCGAGAACTGAAATACTCTGACTCCTTAGAAAGTGGCATAGTTGTTGGAAACAATAGACCGAGAGCATCTATAGTTAGTTAATCTCTCTGTATCTCCCTAATCCTGTTGAAGCTATTTGGGAAAAGAGTGAGACATAAATCAACGTTGTTTATCCTAATTGACAGAAAATGGGTGGATCCTTATTTTCTTTCCAATCGAAAAAGACAAAATAACTCCATGGAAATATGGATAATGACAAATATTTTAATCAATCCGTTTAGTGTTGACCTATTTTCTTTTGTTTCGTGCTGCTGAATTTTTGGGGAGTCAACAATTCTTCCCTATTCTCACAAACCTCTTTTTTGCAAAACAATTTCCACAGTTCTGGAGATATTTACTGAAATCTGAGTCAACCTTTTCTGAAATGGGAGGGCAGGCAGAAAGGCACTGTTTCTCTATCGCAGAATGCCAGGGATAATTTGATATTTGCAACACATACTAATGACTTAGTAACTCAATACACACTAAGCCACAGGATGGTGTTGATTTGATTTATTTTAGTTCCAGACTTTATGATTTGTGAAAAATGGTTTTGTAACTTAGCACAACCTGTAAACATGGTTTAATAAACAATGACCTAGTGTGCAGTGAGAACTCAACAGTTTGTAATCTCTGTTTTGGACAGAGTCTAAATTGTAAACTTCATCTGGCTTAAAATCTGAACCTTCACTGAAATAAATATTCTTGTCTGTTTATTTTCTTTAAATCTAGAACTTCCTCCCTCCCTAGATATTATAAATCTACATTTAAAGTGATAAAAATATAATGAAACAATGAAACAAGGCTGTTAGAGTGCATTTATTTATATTTCGGAAGCTGCCTAAATCAATGGTGACCCTGCCTACCACATAAATTTAAAAACAAACCCACAATACAGTTTAAAAATCGTAATGGGGAACAGCCATATACAGTAAACAAACTCAAAATAGCTGAGTCCAGGGTGAGATGCATCCCAGCCCAGGATCTGATGGAAAAGCCAGGTCTCCAAGGCCTGTTTAAAGGATATTGGGTTTGGTTGAACATCTGTAGGGATGTTGTTCTGACAAAGAAGACCCACTTCCTGGGCCCATCAGATAGGATTGCTGAAGAGATGGGTCCTTAAGTGATCCCACTATGTCAGGATGTGTGAAAACAAGGAAAGTTGGTCTCTTGGATGAATAGGATCTGGGCCGTAATAGACTAAGCTGTTTTTTAAAACGATTAAAATAAAATAACACGACAATAAAAAAAACATAATAAAACTGAACATCTCTGTGATTAAGTTGCTTAAATGAAAGTCTTACCTCTAACAATTAGATGAGCTGAGCTGGACACGGTCCCATATTTATTGCTCGCCGTGCATGTAAAACTTCCCGAATCTTCTGAAAAGACTTCAGCGATGACCAAAGTGCAGATCTCCTCTGAAAACCATTGTAAGAAAGTTGGCACTTTTTCATAAAGTATGAAATAACACTTCAGTTAACCCTATCATGGCATGATCTCTAGATAGTTCATGCCACAATTTCCAGACAATATATTGAGAAAGATAGGAATTACATTCCCCCAGGTCTCACCTTTTACACAGAAGTCTACCTAATGCTCAAGACAGTCTACCTAATGCTCCTCCTTATATTTTTTCCCTCCATACCAATCCTATGGGGTAGGTTGGGTTGAGAGAGAGAACCTGGATGTCCTCACTTGGACTTAAGAGTAGGAACATCCAGGTTCTGGTGCATCCTCACCTATGGAAGTACACTGAGTAACTTTGAGTACACTTTCATCAAAACATTGCATGATTCTCTAAAATGCATAGAACCCAAAGCTGGTAACATTATTTAGCAACTGAGACAAGAAGACATGGTTTAGTGCAGCACTTAAAGTGCTGGATTAGAAATCAGGAATGTATGTCCAAGTCCTGTCTTGGGCATGAAGTCAGCTGGGTGACTTTGGAACCGTCATTCTGGCTCAATGCAACTCACTTGTGATTATGGAGAAAACAGAAGGGAGATTTCTATTCTTCACTGGGATACAGTTTTGGGAAAGACTGATAGATTGGCAAAGTAGACATTCCCCCCCCCCTTGCATAACTTCTGTAACTGATCTGAAGATAAACTAGGGTTTGAAGTTAAAAAAAACCCTATGGGATTAAAGTCTTACACAACAATCCTAGCTTCTTTTTCTTAGTATGATAATATGAAAGTTAGCAGCTCTGAGAAGTAAATATCTGGGTTTTTCTATTTATTTAGTACAGGGGTCCTCAAACTTGGCCACTTTAAGACTTGTGGACTTCAACATAGCTGGCTGAGGAATTCTGGGAGTTGAAGTCCACAAGTCTTATAGTGGCCAAGTTTGAGGACCCCTGATTTAGTATATAGCATCTACAGATGTCATGCAATCACTGATATACAAATATAAGTTTAAATAAAGCAATATCTGGGTGAACCTTAAATATTAACAAAGATTAAGGATTTCTGGGTATTTTCTTGTTGTCATCAAGCAGTGATCACAAGTAGAAATATTTAAAATTATTGTAAGAGTCATTGCCCCAAGAGATTATGATTCTGGACATGACCATATCAACAGAGGATATTCTCCACTAACAATTTTTTTCCAGTTCATAGGAAAGCTGTGAGAAACAAAATAATGTTTTTCCTGATCTACTGTATGTTCTTCTCCTATGTTTATTGGGAGATATTGGCTCCAAACTGAATATAATTTAGTTACTGGAATTTTTGTAACCCCGTCCGTTTGGTAGATTTGACTCAAGAGAACTTGATGAGAATTTTGTAGAGAAAAGAACCACTCTGAGTTTTCAACAGTTGCCAAAGAGGATGACCATTACATGAGTGTCCCACTAAACAGGGGTGGCTATGGGGTGAGGTCAAAAAAATTCAGATGGTGGCCCTGATGATGCACATACAAATGGGAGGAGTTTTAATTGGACCATTGTGGCCACCATGGACTTTTTTGACCACACCTTACTGAACCCCCCCCCACGCTAAAGAGTCTTTAGTTCCACAGGAACCAACTCTGCTCAACTGCTTAGGGAAAATGCAACCCATGCACTTTAGAAGGAAAGAAAAATTGTAACCCTGAGGATGAATCTCCTCAGCATTCCGGCAAGTGGATAGAATAGACCAGGGGTAGGCAACCTTGGCTCTTTTATGACTCGTGGACTTCAACTCCCAGAATTCCTGAGCCAGCTATGTTGAAGTCCACAAGTCTTAAAGTGGCCAAGTTTGAGCACAGGAATTCTGGGAGTTGAAGACCACGAGTCATAAAAGAGCCAAGGTTGCCTACCCCTGGAATAGACCATCAGCTAGTGAGGAGCAGGCTACAAAAAGCTCTCTCATGAAAAGTATAGACAAATGTGTTTTTGTTCCTCCAAGGCCATTTATCCTAGTGTTGCTTACTCCACGGTCCCTGGATGAGGGCCTTGTGCCCTTTCATCTAGCACTGACTCAGATCCACTGAAGTCACTGAAAAAATAGTCGCAGTCAGGGTTCCCCCTTGGAGGGAGAATGCCTGATATGGCCTTCTCCAATTTCAGAGCTGGAATGCCTGAAGCGATTCTCTCATATTTCATGAGTGAGAGCAATGTGGAGCACTGAGGGTTAAGAGAAAAAAATTGGCACAGGTTGAGGCATGACAAGACGCTTCCACTGGCTAGCTGGATAAATATAGTACAGTCCAATATCATCTGGTGTAGATTTGACTTCTAAGAAAGCAAGGGACAAAATAAGGTATCTTTCATTCACATCAAGGCTAGAAAAGAGCAGAAGTCCCAGTTTTGAAATAAGGGCCATCTAGTAGAGAATGGAAGTCATAATTCCACCCCTTGAATATCTTTAGGGTCAGTCAATCTTTCCAAGCTTTCAGTGCTAATGATATTCCGGCCTCATAGAGAATAGGCTCCTTTTAATTAAGTGGGCCTCATTAATAAATGGAAGCATAACCATATATTCTTGACCTAGAATTTATTTAGTGTGACCTGGAAATAAGTCCTGTTAAAATCAGTGGGATTTTTTCAGAGCAGGTAGGTAGATGATTCTGTTGTTATGGTATTTGTGGTATTCTTGCTTTTTTCACGGGGGGGGGGGGGGCTCAATCTATTCTCCAAAGCACCTGAGGGCAGGACCAGAAGTAACGGATGGAAACTTATTAAAGGGAGATCCAACCTAGAATTAAGGAGAAGTTTCTGATAGTGAGAACAATTAACCTAAGTTGTAGGTGCTCCATCACTGGAGGTTTTAAAGACGAGATTGGACGACCATTTTTCTGGAATGGTATAGGGTCTCCTACTTGGGCAGGAGGGTTATTTATTTATTTATCAATTTTATTGGCCACCCATTTTACTCTATGGCAGGGGTAGGCAACCTTGGCTCTTTTATGATTCGTGGATTTCAACTCCCAGAATTCCTGAGCCAGCATGGCTCAGCTTGGAAACCTCTCCCTTTCCCCTCAGCACGGCTGGCTCAGGAATTCTGGGAGTTGAAGTCCACGAGTCAGAAAAGAGCCAAGGTTGCCTACCCCTGCCATAGGGTAACTCTGGATTGGACTAGAAGAGTTCCAGGTTCCCTCCCAACTCCCTTCCGACTCTGTTATTCTGTATTTTGTATTCAGATGAAGTTGAATGGAATATTTAACAACTCATAATGCTTATCTGTTGTAGTCAAGAACTTTAAGTCAGAGAAAAGAGCAGTGGCCTTGTTTCCTACATCTAATGGCAAACATGAGTAGCAGTCTTCTTCCAGATTTCAATATACTAATAAATAATTTAGCCTCATGTTATGGAAGATGCTCATGTCCAGGGATGTCTGCAGGTAGTGTCAAAGCAATCAAAGTGACCACTGCAGCGATGTGACTGAAGGCCTGTCCCTTTTTATACGGTTGGAGCAGAATCACACAACCTTTCCAATATAGCCTCCCTGAACAATATCATCTGTTTGCTTTATGTGTATGGGATATATTGACGAGAATACCGCAGTGTGTGTGAAGCAGGAACTGCAATAATACATTTAAAAAAAAATGGCTTGCTTGTTTTTAGTCACAGAAACACTTCTGTAAGAGTGAAGTAATTTAGTAAGCAGTGCACTGGGATAAATATACTTACCCGGCTCAGCCATGGAGCGAGGTTCTAATAAAAAAGAAAGAAAAACATTACTTAATTCTGTATTTATTTTAACACATATCATGTTCTTTCAAAGTTTTGCATGAAAAACAATATATATTTGGGGTAATTTGTATCACTTAAGCTTCTTTAAATCCAGATAGATGGATCTTTAAACTACTGGAGTAATACAGTTAGTTTTGGTCCAGCTCTTAATCTCTGACTCATCTAGAGGAGTGGGGATGGGAAGGGCAGGAGTCAAAAAGTCAGATTCAATCACAGTGGAAAAACAGGATCAGATCCTATTGCTCCTGACTCTGCCCAAAGACCTCCTGCACAATCTAGACCAGTGGTTCTCAACCTTTTTAATGCCGTGACCCCCAACTGGTCGTAAGTCGAGGACTACTCAACCGGTCGTAAGTCGAGGACTACTCAACTGGTGCAGCACCGTTTGCAGAATGGGACTTTTGGCGGGCTCAGCAGGGCAGAGACAGCCTGGACAATTCCTATTGGCTTTTGAAAGCCAATAGAATTAGACTCTATTCAAGAGAGTCTATTCTATTGGCTTTCAAAAGCCAATAGAATAAAAGGGAGTAGCACAGCTAAGGAAAAGGGCAAAAAAATGGCGGACTGCGTTGTTTGGCGACCCCCATGAAATGGTCGTTCGACCCCAAATGGGGTCCCGACTCACAGGTTGAGAACCACTGATCTAGACTCCAAGCGATCTACCCCATAAGAATGCTGTGGTCTTCAAAGAAGTCAGAGGAAAGAGCACAGACTTTGGTCAGAGAGTATCCGGCATGGATTAGTCCTATTCAGGGTTGAGTCCCCTGGTCTAGGAATCATGGCTGACTGACACCAGTTGTGCACAAACACAGCCTGGGAATCTTCTGCATTTAAGGACCTTCCTGAATGCAATAGGATGCCGGAATCAATATACGTTTTATGGACCTTTCCTCATTCCTGAGCTGAAGTGCTTTTTGCTGTTCCTTGAGACAATGATAGTTGCACATTTTTATCCTGTCTTTATTATCGTCAGTGACTTGCTGTTATTGCCTGACTTCCCTTAAATTGACGGCCAACAAAGCCCAGATTTTATACCTCTTGAAGTCACCTTTGGATTGGATTGAGATACCAGTAAAGTTGAAGAGAACTTCAGCCTGTCTTCCTCATAGGTTGGGATAAAATGAAGGCAATATCAGAGGGATACAACAGAAAAAAGATATTGTCAAAGAATGAAAATTTGGAGTGACCAAAGGATGTGGTGAAAAGTTTAAGGTGGTAACTAAGCTCAATTTTTTTATCTGTAATGAACATAAAACATAGGAAGAACTTTGATTATACCATCAAGGCTGTCATCTTGTTGTTGTTTTTTAACCATACCCTGTAGTTGCTACTAATATATTGTGGTTAGGAGCAAATGTGTCATCCTTAAACTTTAAAAAAAAAAAGCCTCCTTAGAAAATTCACCTCCTGCATAGTTTAAACTGCTCTTTAAATTTTGGTTATTAGTAATTAGTTATTAGTAATAACATTGGTTTGGGATTATGCCTTGTTGTATACTGTAAGGTAATGAGATATCCTGCACAACAAGGCATTATATACTAAAATACACTGTTGTTAATTGCTGATCATTAACTATGAATTCCCGTTTCACTCTTTACATGATATGCCAGAATATACATATGGTAGTTATATCCACAATATTTTAATTTCATTTCTTTTCTCTATTGGTGAAACCCAAACCTGAACTTGCTTCAGGGTTTAGGGGCAGAGTTTAAATATTTTACCCTAGGTGGCAAAAGGATAACAATCCAGAAAATTACCAATACACCAAAACATTATTTGCTGTTCTATACAAAATCTTGTTCATGAACGGCTGTGCTGGAATGATTGTAGCTTTAGAAAGTGGATTAAGTTTTAAAACTAAACTCTGTCAGTTGTATCGGTTTTTGCATACAAGGCAAGCAGTTCTGTTCTTCATGTGGTGCAACCAGATATGAGGCTGCTTCAAATCATTCTTCTTCCTGCTTTATCACTTTGATCTGTAACATGGAGACAATATTGACACGTGTGCGTCTGACATGCTTGAGAACAATAGCGGTCCCAATCACTACCACTATTTCTGTGGCGCACAAGAGATAACAGTAGTTTTAAAATGCTGTTTTCACAGGATTATTTTTTTTACAAAGGTTTGCTTTTCAGAAAGCAGCAAAAAAACCAAACAGTCCATGAAAACTAAAAAGCATACTTTTCTGTAATATTCTGAAGTCTGGAGAATCTTCAATCAACATCCCTTCTCTGTACCATTCCACTTTTGGAGAAGGAGCTCCTTTCACCCGACATTCAAACACAACCAGCTGACCCTCAGAGGCCGATATATTTTGCAGCATCTAAACCAAAAACAGACATTGTGCTATTTTTAAGATTTTTAAGATTATTACGTAGGTGCGAATAAAGCGAAGTCAGCTTTGAGCGAACTTGCTTCTGGTCTCTGAATGGATACACCTGTGTAGCTTTCTTTGTCATGATTTGCCATTGGTTTTGGCAGGAATGGGGATTGATTGCTCAGTTTCCTGCTCTGATTTACAGCACAAGATTTCAAACATGGTGCAACCCAAATACTGACCAGAGGAATCCCTGCTTATCTTTTTATGTAGGTTAGCCAAGGTTGGCAGTGTGCTACTTACCTGTGAAAGCTGTCAATGGAAAGTTCTCTCTAAGATAATAGAACAACATTGTTAAGCTACAATATATGCTAGAAGCAACCTGGAATTAAGGAGAAACTTCCTGACAATGAGGACAATTAACCAGTGGAACAGCTTACCCCCAGAAATCATGGGTGCTCCATCACTGGAGATTTTTAAGAAGAGACTAGACATTCACCTGTCTGAGATGGTGTAGGTTCTCCTGCTTGAGCAGGGGGCTGGACTAGAAGACCTCCAAAGTCCCTTCCAGCTCTATTCTATTCTATTCTGTTCTGTTCTGCTCTGCTCTGCTCTGCTTTACTTTGCTCTACTCTACTCTACTCTACTCTGTTCTATTCTATTCTATTCTATTCTATTCTATTCTATTCTATTCTATTCTATTCTATTATTTTTGCTTAATCTGGTGCTCTCCAAATGAATTGGAATCTACTATCAATTCTATCTTAGCTGACATTTCTATTAAAAGATTGGAGATTGTCACTTGGAGAACTTTCTTAATTTGTAGAGCAGAAAAATCTATTTTCAGATAAGTGTTCTTAAAAATGTACTGATGTAAAGAAGCAATTTTAGGACACTCGTGCTGATGATACAATCCCTGAGCTTCTGAAAGGTATTTTAGGACTGGGCAATGATTGCCTGAGGATTTGATCATCACATCTACGGTACTTGTTTCCCATTATGAGAAGAGCTCATTCAAGCAAATCACCTTGGTGAACACAGGAGCAGCTATTAGGGGTCTTCCGTCCAGTCCTTGTAAATAATTCGTAGGGCTCTGATTCTAATAGTGAAACAAAGAAACAAATGTTAAGTGTATTATATAGGAACAACATTTTTGCTTCTAGAAAAGCTGGTGAACAGAGAGAACTGTATGATTTTTTTTTCTTCAAAACTGTATATGCAGGAGAATATCTGTAAGCAGGAGATTGAAGTCTAGCTGATTTGGAACCTAACTTTGTGATAATTTTCACAGCAATTTTCATTGCTGGATTAGAAGGGAATTTATTTATTTGTTTGTTTGCTTATTTATTTATTTATTTCCTGCTTTTATTACTTTTAGGAATAACTCAAGGCAGTGAACAGATCCAACATACCTTCCTCTTCCTATTTCCCCCACAACAACAACCCTATGAGGTAGGCTGGGCTAAGAGAGGCCCAAAGTCATCTAGCTAGCTTTCATGGCTAAGGTGGAACTTGAACTCACAGTCTCCTGCTTTCTAGCCTGGTGCCTTAGCCACTGACTAGACCAGGGGTAGGCAACCTTGGCTCTTTTATGACTCGTGGACTTCAACTCCCAGAATTCCTGAGCCAGCCATGCTGAGGGGAAAGGGAGAGATTTCCAAGCTGAGCCATGCTGGCTCAGGAATTCTGGGAGTTGAAGTCTACGAGTCATAAAAGAGCCAAGGTTGCCTACCCCTGGACTAGACCAAACTGGCTCTCCTTAGATAAACATTTTTCAACATCTGGCTCAAATCCTTGGCCACACGTTGCCCCACAATTTAACATGGGACCTGAAGTGTGAACTATTTATTATTCACAAAAATAATTGTTTATATTGTTATTTCTATCTCATTCTTTCGTTATTAAAAACAATAACAATCTGGAACACCGCTTCCTAAAACAATTTTAAAATACTGTTACTGCTATTATTATTTTTTCTTAAAAGAAGTTTTAAAATGTAAACAATTCCAGAATATGGACAGTGACCAGACAACTTGTCAAAGCAGCACCAATGCATGAAAAGACTACTTGTCATCCCTGCACGCTGCTCAATGTTTGTGACTCAGGTTATTTACAATATACTAAAATAAGCGAGGACATCCACAGAATAAAGAAACATTAAAACCCAAAGCAATAACAGAATTCATAGTAACTTTTAATTAAAAAAAAGTTCATTCTCCAAGATTCTCCTCTGGATATGAGAAGGATGTCATAAAATGTGCTGGACCATATGGCAAAGACACAGTTGGAGAAGAGATAGAATGCTACTTCATAACTGGAGCAGTTAAAGGTGACGTAAAGCTGTGTCAGCTGTGAGTTCCTCGTCTTTAGTAAGATAAAAATGCAAAGGGTCTGGAATTGCTTCTCTAACCCTTCTGAATAAAGTAGAACTGTATTTCTAATAACCAGCTTTCTTTTCATAAGAAATTATATTCTTATTCCCCTTTAAATATTTGTTTTGATCCAGGCACCTTATTTTGATTTACAGTCTCCCATTTTCCATACCAGGATGAAAATAAAATTGTGTTACTGCTTCGACTGAAAACCAAAGATTAAGGAAAAAATGCAAATTAATCCGAGTCTATAGAACAGCTGCTTCTATAACACAGTGTCTTCTATGTATGTTAACCTATAATTGGCTTCCTCCGTGGGATACTCTCCAAGTACCACCCCAGAATTTCTGATCAAAACCATCCATGGAATGTGCTGGTATGGAATTCTGAATCTTGTAATTCTTTCTCAAATGACTGGATGTCATTCAGAAGGTAGCACCTTGGATGACAGCATCACAGCTACACAAAGCTAGCAGCATATTTGTCACCTTGAGGGGACAAAATCAGGTATTTTTCTTACCTGATACACAGGAACTGAGACAGCATGTTTCGTCAAAGGTTGTGGTTGAATGGCTTCTTGATGGATTACAGAAGGAGGAACAGGAAGAGGAGCAGGCGGAAGAGGAGCAGGAGGAGGTGCAGTGGGTGAGGTCTTAGTCTGGTTTTGGTACCTGGGAAAAAGTTGGAAAAAGCTAATTGACAAAAAAAGAAAACAACATGAGTTTGTGAAGGCCGAAGCTTCCTTTATCCATCGCTTCTGAGTGATTTAAAAACTAACTTGATGGATTGGGAAGTTCTGTCATACAACTGACTTTAAAGCTTCTCAAAGCACCCTTGACCCAAAGTGTGTCTCCTTCCTTTTGTCTTTACCAAGCATTCTAAAGAAGTTCTGTGGTTTAATTCCTTGCTCTGTGGGGGAAACAGGAAAGGTGAACAATTTTTTCCTCTAGCTGAGAGGTGAAAGATGGGATATTCCATCTGCTCCTGAGGAAGTTTTAAAAGTAAGAATGCCCTTGAAATGGATTCAGCTCCAGGTGATGGCATCCAGGTCTCCTCAGAAGCATTATGGCAATGGTTTGCCGTTGCTTTTTCCTCAGATTTCCCCCCCCCCAACTTCCCAGTCTAGTCCTTCAGCCCTGGGATTTTGAGGAACTCCCCTCAATGTACTAATCTAAACAACAGACTGTCAAAATGTTAGAAGGACCAGATATTTTGAGTGTTGCTTCAAATGCTCAGAAATCAGTAGCAGATTTCTTCAAGTGCTAGGCACCCCAGTGGTCCACAAACTAATAAAATTCCTCCATATTTTCCATTATTGTTAGTCTGCATGAGTGGTTCTTTGCAACGATCAAAATATATGTGAGTGTATAGATGGCTACATTCAGGCACTGAGAATTAAAAAGGAGACCCATTAAAAGTAGGAGGTCATATCTGAGGATTGGGATGAGAATGAACCTTCACTGGCTAAGTCATTCTTACAGTCTGGAAATAGGAATATCACATAGCAGTGACTGAGCAGACAGCTGCAGAGATCAGATTTTCTCATTTGCCAGGGCATAACTTGTCACATTTTTGGCAAACATAATACTCATTTTCGTTATATGAAGAATATTAAAGTTTATCTAGTGACTGGTGGATCTTTAGCAGCAAGAAAGGGAAACTCTAGTTAATTGAGACCTAATCCCTTATAATCCTGTCTTTTGAGAACAAAAGTTCTCAAAAGTAGTCTATTAATATTTCCTTTAGTGGAAAGCAAGAGAACTTAGTTTCTTCTCGTGACTTCAGTGAAGTTTGGGAAAGAGACATTTCTACTTTTGAAGGCTTGTATTTTATGGATTTTCTGGAATAAAAAAAAAACCCTGTTTCAAATGTCGAACAGAAGGGCCAGGAAAACCTTGTCTCTATAAACCTGAAAATAATAATGTAATGATTCCTTATATTTTCAAACTACTGCAATTGGAGAAGATATGTTTATAGTCTATACAAGACAAATATCAATTGAATATAAATCTGAACTGAACTGCCTGTGAAATTATAGTTTGCAGTTTGTATAGATAACAGAATAACAGAGCTGGAAGGGACCTTGGAGGTCTTCTAGTCCAACCCCCTGCTCAAGCAAGAAACCCTATACCAGTGGTAGCAAACCTATGGCATGTGTGCCAGAGGCGGCACTCAGAGCCCTTTTTGTGGGCATGTGCACCATCTCCTCAGCCCCGCCTCCTCCCACAGCCCCCTCCTCATCAGCAGCCCCCCCCCCAGAGGAGAGTCACCCACGAGCACAGGGGGGCATGGCAGCCAGGCAGCGGGGACAAGATTCCGCCCTTGCACCCATCGCATGCAGTTGATGCTGTGGGGCGCGGGCAGAGGGTGTAGCTGCCATGGCACTGCCGGTCCACCAGGGCAATCGGTGGGCTGTGGAGGTGGTGGGTGGCCCTGCAGGTGGGCAGGGTGGGGGGGTGGCGCAGGGGTGCAAGGTGGGGGTGGGGCAGGTTTTTGGGCACTCGGTCTCTAAAAGGTTCGCCATCACTGCCCTATACCATTTCAGACAAATGATTGTCCAATCTCTTCTTAAAAACCTCCAGTATTGGAGCACCCAGAACTTCTGGAGGCAGGTTGTTCCACTGATTAATTGTTCTAACTGTCAGAAATTTCTCCTTAGTTCTACGTTGCTTCTCTCCTTGATTAGTTTCCATCTGCTGCTTCTTATCGTGCCTTCAGGTGCTTTGGAGAATAGCTTGACTCCCTCTTCTTTGTGGCAACCCCTGAGATATGGGAACATGGCTATCTTATCACCCCTAGTCCTTCTCTTTGTTAGACTAGATATACCCAATTCCTGCAACCATTCTTTGTACGTTTTATCCTCAGTCCCCTAATCATCTTTGTTGCTCTTCTCTGCACTCTTTCTAGAGTCTCAACATCTTTTTTATATCGTGGTGATCAAAACTGGATGCAGTATTCCAAATGTGCTCTTACCAAGGCATTAAAAGATGGAATTAACACTTCATGTGATCTCGATTCTGTCCCTCTATTAATGCAGCCTAGGATTGCCTTGGCTTTTTTGGCAGCTGCAGCACATTGCTGGCTCATATTTAAGTGATTGTCCATTAGGAATCCAAGATCCTCTCACAGTTACTACTGATGAGGCAGGTACCACCTATTCTACACCTGTGCATTTGATTTTTCTTGCCTAAATGTAAAACCTTGCTTTTCTCTACACTGAATTTCATTTTGTTAGATAGGTCCCAGGGTTAAGTCCTTCTGTATCTTGAGCCTATTTTCTGGTGTCAGCTTGCTGCATCTGCAAATATGATGAGTTCCCCTTCTATCCCCTTCTCTAAGTCATTGATGAAGATATAAGAGTACTGGGTCTAAGACAGAGCCTTGGGGTACAGATAATTTTCTGTTAATCATCATCATCATCATCATCATCACTATCATCATCAGCAGCAGTAGCAGCATCTATTAAACTTGTATGTCATCTATCTCTGAACAACTCTATAGCCTTGGTTTTCCAAGTTATTTTCCAAAGGAAGATGAGGGAGATGGGAATTATTACTATGCAGGCTTTGGTTTTGTTGTTTCACAAGTGATGGCATCTAGCCAACCTTGTCTGGATTTGGAAGCTAAGTAATAAATTTCAGGGCTTCTGTTAGATAGGAAAGTAAAAAGACAACTCAGAAGAAGACAATGGCTAACCCCTTTGTTATTGTTTTCTGCAGTACCTACATGAACACATTTATTAAGTCACCAGAGATATGTCCCAAAAACCTGCTGCATCATTTTCCAAATGAAATTGATCCACTAATTGCATTTTGGCTGATTAATAACACATACCGCTTCATATAACTAGCATTTTGAAATGGATGGTATAGATTGGAAAAATGAGATGGGAGAGCAGTTTATTCCCACTTTTCTGATTCAGTTCCCCATCACCCCAATTCCTTGCGTTTGTTTTTAAAAAGAAATATAACAAGTTGAGAAATCTGATCCAAGAATATAAGTGTCCATGAGCGTCTCAAATTCACACCATACTTACCGATCCATTTCTTCTTTACTGTTGTCACTTTCAGATTCTGAAGATGAGGCCCCTGTGGGAAAGCAAATATTACTTCCATGGGGCACCATATTTACTGATTTACTTATCTGAGTGCAATGTAGACTGCCTGTTTGATGTTTATTGTTGATATCACAATGGCTTCGTGCAATTAATTTGATTTGTGGGGCAGAATCCTAACATCTTTGGAATCTTTCCTTAGCAATTATGTCACTATAAGAACTGTGTCCCCTTTGGGAGACACTTTTCTTATAAGAACATATAAAGCCAGGCTATAGTATTATTGGATGGATGACAATTGGCACCTAACATTTCCATGCCTTTTTGAGATCTTCTTCTTACATTCTTCATTCCACTGAAAAGTATAGCTACTTTTTTCAGTCACTACTGGGAAAATCTACCAGTAAACATCGATTGGATTAGAACTGACCATCAGTTGTGTTGTAATAGAACATTTCACTCTTCAGGGTAGTTGCTAAAGTGGAAGCCACATAACATCATATCCATCATGTTGTCATCACACAAATGCATTGATTACGTTGCAATCCCATAAATATAATTTTATGATTGTATCATAATGCATAAGACATCACGTCTTCCCTGATATTCAGAGTCCTAAGAGAAATATTTTAAAACATCTGGGAACAGATTCAGATATGAAGATTGTTGCTTAAAAGTTTAAAAAAGATCAAAACTGGAGGCCTTTCCATGATTAATTAGGTAAATCAAGTATATGCTATCCATATGCAAATATATCAATATCTATATCTACAATATACCTATAGAATATTTATGTTTGCTTCTGGCATGGATGAAAAAGCACAGTGCTATAAAGAGATTGTAGTCTAGTGAGTTATCACACAAGTGATGGCAGCTAGTTTTAACTTCTTCCAAATTCTGCCCGAAATCACTGCAAAGAACTCTGCAAAGCTGACTGATAGTATGTATACAGTATATGCATATGCATATAATCCCCAGATACTGAAACATATTACCTCATCCAAATTCTGCCCATTAATAAGTCTGAATTCTGATTTTCTTTCCTTTTCCTTTTTTTTTACAAAATTCATAACATTAGTCTTATTACAGCCCCTGACAGAAAGATCTTAAGGGTCAAAGGACCAGCTTCATATCTGTAGTACTGTTGTTGCTTCATTTGTATACTGAGAAATGGCAACTGGAGGGAGAGTGGGAAGACATCTTGATTTTTTTCAAGAGCAGGTGACTGATCTTTGTTTTATAGTCAAGGAGACAACTATCGTTATCCTTTAAAATTAGTGGTCTCATGTACATTATAAATAAGAGTAAGCATTACTTCTTAAATCTTGGAAAACCTGTTTCCATATCTCAGGACCTCATTTGAATTAAGAAAGCAGCAGAAATATATATATATATATATATATATATATATATATATATATATATATATATATATATATATATATTTCTGAGGTTTTCGCGGGTATTGTATGTAGGTCTTTGGTTGTTCGGGTTTTCTCCCACGTAAAATTGGAAGTGTCTTGGCGACGTTTCGACGAAGTCCCATTCGTCATCTTCAGGCTGGTGCTTTCAGCTTCGTGCCTCGAGCAGCAGTGTGTGGTCTTGGCTGTTTCTTGAAGAAGAAACAGCCAAGACCACACACTGCTGCTCGAGGCACGAAGCTGAAAGCACCAGCCTGAAGATGACGAATGGGACTTCGTCGAAACGTCGCCAAGACACTTCCAATTTTACGTGGGAGAAAACCCGAACAACCAAAGACCTACATACAAATACCCGCGAAAACCTCAGAAAACATATATATATATATATATATATATATATGGTATTACCATGAATACCCCCAGGGTTCATATTTTTAACTTTCTTAATCATATATATATATATATATATATATGCTTTCCCTGGTTAAATTTCAAACGTCTACTATTACCTTCTACATAGATCTCTGCAGAAGTTGAATCGGTCCCATAGATGTTGGACGCAAAGCAGGAATAACGCCCAGTGTCTTCTTCAAAAGCTTCAACAATAATTAGCGAATGCAGTTCTCCTGATTGGTTTATTTGAATATATGGTGAATTTTCAAGCTCTTTGCCTTCACAATACCACCTGCAAGACAAGGCAAACACTTGTCACTTTGACAGATGAATGGGAAGACATATTGCAACGACAGCAATGACTTATGAATCACTCTAAGGAGACTTTCCACTTAAATGAAACTAAATCAAAAGAGTAAATAACCTGTTATATTTAGCTGTAGTTAAAAACTGAGCTGCATTCTGTACTAAGTATTTAGATCTTGTTGAACAATGCAAGGTGGAACCAGGGTCAGATAGTAGTTAGTTTGTTGGAGTAGAACTACAGATTTAAGTTCAAATATGCAAAATGGCATGAAATTCAGAGAATAATCATACTGTAGATCCATTACTATTTTTCAGTAACAGTTCTAGTATGAGCAGATAGATTGGAAAACATTTATGTAGCCTTCCAAGAAAAAGGGATTCAAATTTTATCCTTAAACAAAGATACATACAGGGTACATTGACCCTATATACTTATAGAATATATGTATTTATGATCATAGAACACATACACATATACATATCGATACATATTCTATGGCCATATATACCTAGGCTATATTGACATGGAATAACCCAAAATAGCTCTGTATTTTGCATGTGTTCATTATGATTATCTACATGTAAAAATATACTAGAGAGACTAATTCAACTGTATTTCACGTGCTGGAATAATATACAGTATAAGAACACTGAAGGATCTATGCAGAATATAAGTATTTCAGCACTGTTTACTGAATTTTTTTGCTTATACAAACAATGATAAAAATAATCTGACAGTTGAGATACTTTCTGCATAAATCTGAGTGGATAATTCATCCATGCAGTTTTTAAAAACTCTATCCACACTGTGGTTTAAAAACGGAGGGAAACATTTTTTCCAGTTTGACACTGATTTTGATTCCTCTGCTGCACATCTAGATCAGGACTTTTCAACCTTTTCACCCATTCTACCACTTTTAGGATATGGCAATATCTGAATACCACCAGTCGCCTAGCAAGGTGTCAAAAACTTGATGACAAAAAAAAGGAAAAAAGTGATAAAGTACAGGTAGTCCTTGACTTACAACAGTTTGCTTAGTGACTGTTCAAAGTTACAATGGAACTGAAAAAAGTGCCCCCCCCCCAAGCCACAGCCGAGCAAGACACCTGCCTGCCCACCTGGCAGTGCTCTTCCTCCTGTCCGTGGTTTTCATTGTTGTGAGCATTTCTGTTGAGGATTGGCAGGGGGGGGGTGTTTGGTTTTTATTCCCCCCCATCTGCTGGGTGGTTGCAGCAGGTTTTGGTCACTTCATATGACCCTGGGACACTGTGACCGTCATAAATATGAATCAGTTGCCAAGCATCTGAATGTAAATCACAAGACCCTGGAGATGCTGCAACATTCCAGTTGATCGGTGCTTCTTCTGAGCTCAGCAGAAGTGCCAGGATCAGTGCTGCTTTCCAGCTGATTGGTGCTTCTTCAGAGCTCAGCAGAAGCACCAGGATCAGCGCTGAACTCCAGCTGGAGCCTAGCGCTGATCCTGGCGCTTCCACTGAGCCATGACAGCCCCGAAGAAGCGCTGATCAGCTGGAAAGCGGCACTGATCCTGGCGCTTCCACTGAGCCCTGACAGCCCCAAAGAAGCATCGATCAGCTGGAAAGCGGTACTGATCCTGGTGCTTCGACTGAGCCCTGACAGCCCTGCAGCTCCAGCCGTCTCTCACTCAGGCTTGTGCGGTGCTGCCACTGGTTCAGCTCATTCCCCTCCCCTGCTATCACTTTTCTAGGATGGTCGCATACCACCTGCCAGGTGCCAATGTATCACCACTGGTTGAAAGGCCCTGATCTAGATGGTACTAAAATTATTAATTTTTTGAGTTTAATTGTGCATTCCTTCATTAACTGTCCACTTCAAGATAAAACAACTGATAAATGCTAAAAACAGATGATATAACCTGCAAACATTATTTCCAATTGTCTTAAACTGAGATTTATTTGCGTGTTTAAGAAGTTGAACAAATAGTGACACATCTGTTCCATCACTGGCTCTATGGGAGAGGAGATATTTGATTCCTGTTTCTATTAAATCTAAATGGTCATACATGTGTGGGTCAAGAATGGCTTCTTAACGGTCATTGTGGTGGGGCAGCTGCTTTTCTCTAACCTTTTACCCTCAGGTATGAAAACATAGAAAAACACATTTGCTTTTAGAATCTCACCTTTATGGCATATTAGCCATGGTTTTTAGCTTAATGATTTTTACGAACGACACTAAAAAGTTATGACCTAATGCAATTTAGGCATTTATTATATCCTTAACAGATTAAAAATACCGACTTCTGAATAAAACAAAGAAACAAAAATCCCTGATTTCTGGGGAATCTACCTAAACTTTATGAGAGGGTGGGATCTTTTGGTCTTAGGATTTTTTTTATTGTTTTGTCTACGTTGCTCATATCTTGTTGATATACTATTGTTTATTGCTCTGAATAATTTAGAAATTTGTTTTTTTTTCCAAAGAAGGGTTCATACCAGAAAGTAAGCTCAGAGAAGTTAATAACTCTTGAACCATATGCAAATATTACGATGCCATGTAGATATTTTTAACTACAATTCCTATTGTTATCGGCCACTTTAGCTAATCAAGAAAAGTGCAGCCTGAAACATAAGGAAAGCTCTGAGTTCCATCTTTAAGGCTAAAACAATGGTGGACAATTTATCAACAGTTATTCAACTCTAGTTGAATTTAATAACAGCAGCAAGATTATTGGTGGGTCAATATTGGAAGAAGGATACTCTGCCTTCTTTAGAAGAATGGATATTTAAGGTTTCTAATCTAGCAGAAATGGCCAAAATTTCTGCTTATTTAAAGGACCATTCACAAGAGAGATATCTCAATGTATGGAGAAGATGGATAGAATATGTTCAGAAGAAGTATGGATCTACAAAGTTTCATTTATTTTATGAGTAATGAATTTGTTTAAACTTATGATGTTAAAGTTTGAAGAGAGTTAAGGGTTAGTACGATTTTGCTTTTTGTATAATTAGTAAACTTAATTAGATTATGTTTAGTATATTTGTATAATCCTGTACTTAGCTCTGGGAAGTCAGGGGGGAGGGGGTGGGGGAAGGATGGGTTGGAATTTTAGTAGTTCAGATAAGTAGAAATAGTTTTTATTGTATATATATATATAGGTTTCAATTTGGAGAGAGGAATTGCTCGGGCATTTCCCCCGGACCGCATCCGGAGTGAGAGGATAGAAGAAGGTGAGAAGTAAGTAGGAAGGTGGAGGAGAGGGGGTGAGGGAGGAAGAGAAAGAAGAGGGAAAGAGGCAAGTTGGTTAGAGGGTGGATGCGGTTTGGGGGGAAATGGGTGAGCAATACCGAAAATGGTGTGTATTAATTTGTCTTATTTTTTTTATCTGAAGTATTTCTAAGATTGTATTGTATTGCAAAATTGAAAATATTTTTTTTTTTTTAAAAAAAAACAGTTATTCAACTCCGGTGGGACTTTTGTATTCAGAAGCAGTACCGTATGACAGAAAATATAAGTTGCTGAAAAGACAATAAAGGTACTTTTCACTCCCTGCACTGATTGTGGGCATGCTGCAAGTATCTGGCTAAATCCCCTCTGGAACCAAGATACTTTACAAGAGGAGTCCTTGACCAAGTAAGCCAATTTTTATATTCTTTTGTGCTCTGGGATGTGCATCAACTTCTGTTGTAAGTGAACTGGGGAATGCCAATGGCTCCGAGTAAAATTAAGGGGAAATTCACATGGCTCTCCCATCTCCAAGTTTTCATGTGGTTCACGCGGATAATGAAACAAGGAAAAAGTGTATTCACTTGGATGCACTCATGCAAGGAAATATCAAGCATCTATTTTGGTCACCATACTACAAACAAGATGTTGAGAGTTTGGAAAAAAATTCAGAGAAGAGCAGCTAAGATGATCAGAGGCCTGGAGGTTAAAATATACGAAGAATGGCTGTGGAACTTGGGTTTGGCTAGTCTAAAGAAAAGAAGAAACAGGGGAGACATAATAGCAGTGAGCCAGTATCTGAGGGGCTGCCACAAGGTAGAGGGGGTCAGGTTGTTCACCAGAGCACCAGAGGGAAGGACGAGAAACAATGGTTGGAAATTGATGAAAGAGAGAAGCAACCTGGAATTAAGGAGCAACTTCCTAACAGTGAGGACAATCAACCAGTGGAACAGCTTGTCTTCAGAAATCGTGGGTGCTCCATCACTGGAGATTTTTAAAAAGAGGCTAGACAGTCACTTGTTTGAGATGGTTTAGGTTCTCCTGCTCGAGCAGGGGGCTGGACTAGAAGACCTCCAAGGTCCCTTCCAATTCTATTCTATTCTATTCTATTCTATTCTATTCTATTCTAGAATGCATAACACACTGGAAGTTTCAATTATGTAACTGATAAAATAAATACCCATATATTGTCTGCTTTTAAAACATTAGTTGATTTCCCTCTTTACCACCTCTGTTTGCTTAAGGGTGTCTAAGATAATTTCAGAAAAAATAAAGACAACAGCAATTTTACCTCTCTTCCCATAATACAGATAGATAAAAGCTGTAGGGCAGCCATATGCATATTTAAGAATAAATCCATAAACTATAGATTTTAATGAGAAAAACAGGACCTCTTTATTAGAATAGATTTCAGTCTATATCCCTGCACAACAAAATCTATTTACCCAACTACTTAATATATTTAAAAATATATCTTGCAGATTGGCAGAGTAGCATAGAGTATAGTGTTAGGATTAGAAGAGACCCAGGAAAATGGTCTTTTAAGCTTTCTCATCTTCATCCATTTTTTCCTGTTTCCTATAAACAGTAGGACGGGAAACAAAATAAATGAGTTGCCCCTTCCTCCCTTCCTTCCTTCCTTCCTTCCTTCCTTCCTTCCTTCCTTCCGCATACTGATCCGAGGGCAGTGGTGGGATTCAGCCGGTTTGCACCACTTCGGCAGAACCGGTAGCTAATTTTTTGTTGCCCAGGCCCAGAATGGACTTCTGGAAGCAGCATCCACACAGAGAACCGGTTGTTCACATATTTGAATCCCATCACTGTCCGAGGGGGTGGGTATTTGTTTAAATAGATTGATGGACATGGTCTTCTTTCTGTTCTTTCTCCCTCTTCATTTCTTCCTCCATCATTAGCTGGCAACCATGGAACCATGTTGTTATTGTTTTTGTTTTTTTTTAAAAAACCCACACAGAAAAAATTGGAAAGATCTTTAAGGGGAGTCAAAAAATCAAGATAGTGCCCCAAATCCATTGGAAATGGATGGCTTACAAATTCAAATAAACAAACAAAATTCTATGATCAAAGCAATGCAACTCTAACAACATAGAAAAATATAGAATTTTGATCTCCACCTGTAAAATTTCTGTAAAAAGTTTTATTCTTTTGTTAACTCCTTTTCCCCATTTTTTGGGGGGGACTTTCTCGGTGAGAGGATCCTGGATCTCTGCCCCATATTCTTATCTGCAGTAGGCAAGCTTTTTGCTCATTCATAATTAGCACCATTGACAAGAAGTGGGAAACTTGTATGATCAGAATGCTGTACTTGTTTTTTATGTATACACAAACATTTCTCGCATGAAACAAAATCCCCATAGTCATATAAGTAATGAATCAGAGTTGATAATGTGCTACTTTGACAGGGTGCATTAATCTATGTATCCTCCCTTGAGTAAATGCAGCTAAAGTTTCTGTTAGTCTTTTATCTTACTGATGCAGTGTGCGGACTGGGAAAATAATTAAATCAATGTGATTAGGTACCTGGGGTAATTTGTGGTTAACAGAAAAATGTTTGTGGCATCTAACAACTCTGCTAATAATAGGTTCCATCAATAAATTTGATTTATACATAATCAAATGTTTGGTTCACATACTTTATTATAGCATTGCCCACAATATGTTATCTTCCAGATGGAATGCTAATTGTATCAAAATTCTCAACCAATACTGCTATTTGTGAATCAAAACATCTGGAAAGTGCCATGTTGGGAAAAACTATGGCAACTATCCAACATGTTAAGAAGTTGTTCTCAAACATGATATTGTATCACAAGTGTTAAAACTAGGATGATGTATATACAATGCAAAGATTTCAAACTCTTTCCCCACTGAGTATGCACTTTTCCCAGCATGCCAGATCAATAAGAGGATGCAATGACTAAGAGTGCCAATGTCTGAAGTATATAATATTTAATATTTAGCTAGAAATCATTTTTTGGTTTCTAGTTACATTACATATTGCAAGAATACAGTCTTGCCACAGAAAAGAAGCATAGTTTTTAGAAAGTCATTTAATTTAGCCAAAGACCTATATTGTCCATTTTTGAGACAGAAGTTCTATCACCCATTGTTTTATTCCACTGAACTTATCTGTTGTCAAACATCACAGTCATTTTTTTCCTAGAATGTCACTCCATCAACTTGTTTGATGAGGCATCAAAAGAGGATTAAATTTTTTATTAAATTTGCAGGGAAAAATGGACATAATTAATAGGGTATATTAAATTTTAGCAACTGGGTGCATGTTGCAGATACACAGAAGGAAAACCATGACCTTTGAGGGTTTATAGTGTAATTGATTTTTTGGGGAGAATTTAATTTGTGAAAATTCAAATTCCAACAGGATCAGATTTTCCATCTCATAATTATTGAGTAGGTGAGAAATGACTGATATTTCTTGACACAGGATAATTTCAGTTGCAGAGCTAAAATAAATTGTAAATTAAGCAGCTTGGAGAAAATGGAACCATGTGTAACTAGAAGTGACAAGTACAGTCTGGCTCACTTCCAACCAATGGGGAAAATGCGTGAGCTACTAAACTGATTTCAGTGTGACCAGTTATGGAGTAGTAATATAGCATTTGTGAAAGCCCTTCCATAAATATCTAGTAAAAATACTTCAGGGGAATATTATTCATGCAACTGACATGGAGAAACCTTATTATGATGTCAGTGTAACTGATCACGATGAGCGTAATAATGTCACAGGATTTCTTTCCAAGAATTGCAGTGTTCCCAGTGCTTTACTAAAACCATAAACCTGGATTTTCCCTCTTAAAATAAAAGTAGAAGGAGCAATGGCATAAAAAAATGGGAGAATTGTAAATAATAAACAACAATTTGTGATTGGGATACATCATTAAGCTGATCTGAGCCTTTTGCAGATTGGGCCCAAAGATGATAGCAAAGAGGTGATCAGCAGTGACATGGACAAGATGCAACTACTTGGGGCGGAGATTTCATGGGCATCCACGGTGTTTGGGTATAGAGGTAGGGGTGTATATTTGTGTGTGTGTGTGTGTATCAAAAAAAGGACAGCAGCTACACAGTTAAAGCCCCATTCCCCTGTATTGCATCTGCAATGCAATATTGCATCTGCAATGATCAACAAAGGGGAAGATGGTTAAGTACGGTAGTCACAATGGACATCTTGATTTCTTTAAACTGTCTTGTGGATGCCCCTGGAAGGATGGGAGAACATTTTCAAACATTTTCCCTTTTACTAGAAGGTTTTTAAAATTGGAATGGAGAAAGGGAAGTTGTTGAAAGGCAAACTGCTTCCACTTCATTTTATTGTTATATTTATTGTTTTAATTTTGTACGCCGCCCTGAGTCCCTAGGGATTGGGTGGCATATAAATTTTATTAATAAAATAATAAATAAATTAATAAATAATAAATGATTTCAAAGAGGGTTACACATGCCAAGAAAATTTGGACGCAAAATGGGTGAATTTGTGCTGTATAATTTCAGATTCAGGGGACCTAGAGGGCTTAATATTTGCCTTCTGCTCTCCTTTCCACTGTTTTTGTTGAAAAAGAACACCACAAGGCTAAAAAAAGAGCCATTTTGCCACTGAATTTTCACAGAATGATCTCAGAATGTTGGGGAAATATAAGTCATGTGAGTCTGAGATCTGCCCACCATCTCCTTACAAACAAAGGTGCGTGAAAGTGTTTTGTTGAAAGTTTGCAAAATGTGGAGACAGCACTAGTGGAGATGTAGTTCATAAGTAACTCTTCCTTTTTAATAATCCCCAGAGGAGTAAATATTGAAACAGAATTGTTTATAAGCAATGGTGGGGTCCAGGTAAAGAACTGACCAAACGTTGAGGGTACTTAATTACAGTCACCCACTCCATGAAGGCTTATTTTCAGTGCATAAATAAAATAGGAACATGTTTACCTGATTTCAGGTGTTGGTATTCCTACTACAATGCAGTCCAACTGCACTTTGGTTCCTTCAGAGACCTCCCTGCTTTTCAGTTTTTGAGTAAAATGGGGTGGTTGACCTATTGGCTCCTCAGAATAAAAAGGTGCAGCTGATGTCTCTGTGGTTAATTCTGGATTTTCTAATGTATGGACAGCTTCCACATCTGTCTGTTGAGGATAAGCTGGGTTTTCCAGTGAAGGTTGAATTTGATCTGATTCTTGAGATATTGGAACACAAGGCCTTTCTCTGTTTTCAGATAAATTGGTGAAATCAGAACTACAATCTTGGTTGGCCTTGTGCTTAGACTCAAGTTTGCTCCTGTAGTTCTTGCACGTCCTGGGCCTGATCCTTTTTGAATTGTGTGCTTTGAAAAGAGAAGAAAGTTCCTCAATAAAATCGGCAGCCTTGTTGAGCAACTCTTTCTTTGATTCTGTCTCTGACCCAAATGGCTGTTTCTTTGGATGATTGCCTGAAGTTGGTGAAGCTGTAGTTTGGCACTGCTGCTTGTTTGAAATAATATTTTCAGCGTTTTTCAACTGGGAGGGTAAAAACACGTGGATCTGCTGTTCTTCTTCTTGGCTGTTCTCAGGAGGCTCTTGATTGATAGCTTGCCTGGCCAAGTTTACACTCTCATCTAGCTCTTCTTGGCTCAAAAAGGCAGAAAGATCTGGAAGTTCATCCTGGCCAGTTGTCTCATCAGAAGCCCTGGAGGTACATCCAGAATGCAGAGAAGAGTCTGATTTACTCCTTTCACTATTATCTTGATGGCTGTTTTCAGCTAAATAGCTCTCTCTCAGAAGTTGAGTTATTGAAGTTGAAGATTCAGAAGTATTGTCTTGCATGCTGTTAACAAAGAGTACAGATAGGACCATAACCTCATAAAATACATACTTTTCTAATACTGAATTAAAGAAACGGATGGAGGTGTTTTTACTGTTGACTTCCCCAATCTAGAACTTTCCAGATGTGTACATACACACCCCCAGGGATAATTAAGTTATATCCAACAATCTGAATATATCAGGCTGAGGAAAACTGTTCTACTGGAATTGCTCAACAGATATATAATTCCTCTTTTGCTCCAGATTGAATTATGATTTGATATTGCTAGTATCTCTATTATTCAGAAGTACTCTCTTAAAGACTTAAAGCAAATTTTGCTGCACAAAGTGGTATTCTTAACCATTCTCTATTAGAATTTGTCCCATTTACTCATTCATTTACCTTATCCAGATTCATCCTTCATCCATCTAGTCCTGTATTGTCTGCTTGGAGTTGCTATATCTCAGAAAGAGGCATTTATTTGCCCTACATCTGAGATTCTTTTAATCTGAGAGCTGGGCTTGATTTACTATATGTATAATGATACTATTATGCCCTCCCAAATTAAGATTCTGCTCTAACCATATGACCATCCATAGCAGCAAGTGTTGATACTTGAATGCATATATGGCACACAAATATCTTTATATAAATAGATGCTCATAATAAAAAGAATGTAGCTGGAATTCAGTATTTTGCCACGCCTTGATAACAGCTTGATGGGAATGAGAAATTCTAGCAAAATTATCCAGGAATTGATTGATTGATCATCCCTGCTTTTATAAGAAGATCTGAAATCCCTGAACATTAGAATGTTCTTTATTTGCCCTACCATCTCTTCCAATGATTCCTATGTGAGTAGTTTATTTTTCAATATATTTTTGGCTCTCACCGTATCTCAAAGTTGTATATATTTAATATAGAAGTTGATGTAGAAAATGTTAGGAAGGCCTGATTTTGAATAAATATGGTCCAATGGATCTGCACGATTGGATGAAGGTATTTTGCTCTCTAGAGGATCAACACACCATTTTAGCACCGAGTCTTATTTCCAGAACTGAGATGAGATAATATCTTATGCTACTTAATGGATCCTGGAGAGACTGTAAAGCACACACAGCTTAGTTCACTCCTACTCATCAACACAGGCTGTTCCTGGTGACCTCTTCATCGTATCTAATCTTAGGGTGAACAGTGAATGACTCTACACTTAGTACTGACATTTAAGGACACTGCTTAACTTAGTCAGAGAAGTCAGTTAAATTAGTTACTGATGTGGGGCAAGCAAACAGATATACCTCTGTTTAAGACAGTGTTGGGATCAGGCGTGACTGGAATTTTTGCCATAATTTGCAACTGGAGATGTAACTATTATTTATAACTATTTGTCTTAAATAATTAATTTTCTGCATTTTTAGAAAAGTTTATTTTGTTGCTCTCACAAACATATTATTTGGTAAAACTCATGTAGCATAGCCAAATACGTGCCCAAAGGTCCTAATGAACACAGAACAACGATACTTTCAAGGGTATCTGTGGGGAGGGGGTGGAAAAAAGGCAAAATAGTGGCCATACATGTTTGGAAACACATGTAAAAAAAGACAGGGCTTTGGTCACACAATGGTAGCCATATCTTGCCTTTTTTGACCCTTTTCCTGTTGTTACTCCTTGATGTTTCTCAAAAGACCATCATTAAGGTATCACTGCCAATTTCCAGCCAAAGTCTGGAAATTTTCCTAAAGCATTCTGCCATTTCTTCAAGCAAAATCATGTCCACCATTATCAGAACTATCATTATCATTTACTAGACACCTCTGGCCTGAGGTGATGAGGTCAGTTATTTTTATGGAAAGCTAGAAACAGTTTGGCTACATGGGATACAAGAAGACAAGAAGATTCCCTCAGGTGAAGCTTGAAATGAATGCATGGTTATGGCCTCTTTTTCAGGGGCACGTTTTTCAATTTCTCAGTCTATGCTCCAACCCTGCAACTCCCTGTGACTTGTCTCTGCTTTCTTAGCTTGCAAACCTAGTCCAGGTCATGGGCTAGGTTCCACATCTGCTAAGCTAGGAAAGTGGGGGAAAAGGTCACAAGTACAATGGGCAAAATTTTCATAAATGACACCAAGCACAGCTGACCTAATATTTGTTAAAAGAGCAAACAATAAAAGTTAGGATTCACCTAATAGAGGTGAAGATGTGCTCTATTTTAATGATTCGAGTTCAAACCAAATCAAGTAATTGATTACAGACCAGTGATCCAGGCTAAACAAGACTTATTAAATAAAACCTACATAACAGAGTTATAAAATCAGGCGTACAGGATAAAAGAAAAACGTGCAGTCATGCTTGCCATATTTTGCTATCAGCAACATTCAAGCTGCAAAAACAACATTTGCAATGCCAAGAGTCACCTTGTGGTCTTTATGTGCTAATAAAAATTGAACTAAAAATGAAAGTGAGGTTAGAAGGGGCTTTAATAGCTCTTTACATACAGTATATTTTGATAGAGGTTACGGTGTTGCAGAACATGAGCTCACTTTTCAACGTTACTACAGGTAATCTTGACTTACAAACACAATTGTGACCAGAATTTCATTTGCTAAGCAAGGTGATTGTTAAGTGATTTGTGCCCAATTTTACAACCTTATTTGCCAGAGTTAAGCAAATCACTGCAGCTGTTAAGTCAGGGCTCTGCAAACTTGGCCCTTTTATGATTTGTGGACTTCAACTCCCAGAATTCCTCCACCAGGCGTCCTCAGCCACAAGTCATAAAAGCGCCAAGTCTGAAGACCCCTGTGTTAAGTGAATCATATAGTTGTTAAACAAATCTGGCTTCCACCAGTGACTTTGCTTTTCGGAAGCTGACTGGCAAAGTTCCAAATGATCACATGACCCTGAGATGCTGCAACCATTGTAAATATGTGCTGGCTGCCAAGTGACCACATTTTGATCACGTGCCCATGGGGATGCTGCGATGGTTGCTTCAATGGTTGTGGAAGGACTGGTTGCCAAGGGACCAAATTTTGATCATGTGACCGTGGGGATGCTACAATGGTTTTAAGAGTGAGGACTGGCTGTAGGTCACATTTTTCAGTGCTTCCATAGCTTTGAACAGTTGCTAAACAAATGATTGTAAGGACTAGCTGCAACTTTACAAGAACAGAGTCTTTCTGTCTATGGAATTTTATACAATTTTACGAAAGAAGGTGACTGTCAACATTTATTGTTTGTAAGTTGATCTAGGCGCAATGCTTTGAAGTATGCGTTACTATAGTCCAATTGCACCTTTAATGAGAGTTTATTTTATTCTGTTTGTAATTCTCTACCAAGGATTCTTTGTATTTCTCTCAATTTGGAGTTTCTAAGACATATTATTAGCTGTGCCAGCCCTTGGGATTGGAAATGAATCTTTCTCCAGCATTTAAACACACATTGCAGTGAAAGTTAAGAATGAATGCAGGGTTGATCGCTGGAGATGGTCAAAAAACTCAAAGTGGCATTTCATGTGAGCAGGCTTTGATTAGGTAATTGTGGGTATCAGCTTGACTTTTTATGATCCCCTGTAGCAGGGATCTTCAGACCTGGCCCTTTTATGACTTGTGGACTTCAACTCCCAGAATTCCTAAGCCAGGCATGCCTGGCTGAGGAATTCTGGAAGTTGAAGTCCACAAGTCACAAAAGGGCCAGGTTTGAAGACTTCTGCTATATAGGATGATGTTTTACTATTCGTTTCACTACATATCCAGAGCATATCCAGAGTCTGGAGTGGTTTCATGTTATACATTCCTTTAATAGAAAATTATACATTATTTTTGTATATGTTAAAAGAAGTGTCTGCGTGTTGATTAATCTAACTGAATCTAAGAGTTTCATAGGGACCCTTCAGGGACATCATTTAACACATTATCAGATATTTCTTTGCTATTATCAAATGATGCTGAAAGTAATATTTGGTTGTGTCTCTAATTTAAAAAAATTGGTTAGCAATCAGACAATAAAATGTAACATATTTGATCTCTTTCTTGGTTGTGGCATGGAGGCTGTATTGAAACACCAGAATCTATGCAGGGTAACAAAGGTACAGTCCTAGGAAGATTCCTAATACTAACTCTTATGTGAAGACCCAGCTCTCTGGAAAAGACTCTAATGCCAGGAAAAGGAAAAGGAAAGAAATAAAGACCAGTAACAAGGTGGATGGACTCAGTTGCAGTGGCAATGAATGCTCCATTGGAAGACCTGGAAGAGAGACTGTCATGGAGGAAATCTCCACTGTCATGGAGGAAAGCTTGGAGTTGAAAATAACTTGATGGTGCATAATCAATCATTTCTAGACAAAAGGAGGAGTCTGAGATTGCCCACAAGTAGAAAGCTATTTTAATTATGTTCACTTGTGGGTTTCATAGAAGTGTCTATATGGCAGACATGTCAAACACAAGGCCCGGGGGCCGGATGCGGCCTGTGAAGTGGTTTCATGTGGCCCACGAAGCTATCCTGGAAACAGTGAGGGAACGGCTCCCGCTGCCTTGGTCCTGGCTGGCCAGGAGGCAGCGGGAGCCGTTCCCTCACTGTTTCCAGGATGGCTTCGTGGGCCACATGAAACCACTTCACAGGTCGCATCCGGCCCCCGGGCCTTGTGTTTGACATGTCTGCCATATAGACACTTCTATGAAACCCACAAGTGAACATAATTAAAATAGCTTTCTACTTGTGGGCAATCTCAGACTCCTCCTTTTGTCTAGAAATGATTGATTATGCTCCATCAAGTTATTTTCAACTCCAAGCTTCCACTTTGATAGATTTCCTCCATGACAGTCTTTCTTTGACCTTGTCTTCCAGGTCTTCCAATGGAGCATTCATTGCCACTGTAACTGAGTCCATCCACCTTGTTGCTGGTCTTTATTTCTTTCCTTTTCCTTTTCCTGGCATTAGAGTCGGCCCCACCCCCTGGGTGCACACTGGGGAGGTGTCACCCTTTGTGAGGAATGAAGAAATGCACCATCACCTGGAAGTGGCCAGCAA